TTAAGAATTTTTAGCACGGTATGTCTTCGAAAATAAGAAATCTGTACACTAATAACAGGCGTTCGCACATGCAGCGGCAGTGTAACTGGCAATACGTGGTAAATCTGTGCAAAAAAGCGAATACAAATTCGCTGCTCAACAATCATGCAGCCCTTCAATGCACGCAATACGTGAACTCTCACGTCGCGGCATATGATAAAACAAGCTTAATTTGGCTTAAGCAACACAAAAAAACAAAAAACAAAACAAAACAAACAAACAAACAAAATTGAAATTTTGAAAATCCGGGATCTCTCGCATTTTGGGGTCCTAAAAATCCAGAAAAACAGGATATTCCGGATTATTCGGGAGGGTTGGCAGGTATGTGCATGTACTGTACAGTATGACATTCAGATCGTACAGTGTATACTATTTATTACAATTACTTACATTTTATTTTGGTAGTCTAAATGGGGAATATGGGGGAATTTACGCGGTGTTTGCGTAGGAGCCAGGTTTCCTAGATTATCATTAAATTAAAGTTTAATTACTGAATTCACACGTCAGAGTGAAGGGTTTAGGAGCAGTTCTAACAAACAGGCTGTTAATCTCTGTTTGTATGCACGAGCGCTGGGTTTCAATGATTAATTTCATCATTAATTTACAGTTTCATTATTCAATTCATATGTCAAACTGAATTAATTGAATATGATTTTAAGCAGTGCTTACCCTCAGTGTGGCACTGAAATATTTTTGTTTTCTCTCTCTCTCTCCCTCTGTCTCTCTCTCTCTCTCTCTCTCTTTCACTTTCTGTCTCTCTCCTAGCTCTCTCTCTCTCTCCCTCTCCCCTCTCTCTCTTTACATGTCCCTATATCTAATCTCTCCATTACCATCCTTCTACATTTCAATATGTAGCATACATGTATCTACCATAAACAGTATACATGTACATGAATGTAGTGCAAATATATGTCTACCCATTGCACAGGTGGTAGTACCATTTCAATTTCAATATTTCTTTTATCAAGGTTTTAGGCACCCAGGTATTCTCTTCTTTTTAGACATGAGTCATCTACTCAAAGATTTCACACTCCAAGTGACCACTGACCCAGTGGGATGCACTTTACATCTCCTTGATATCACAACCATTATCAAAGAATTGCTTTCAATAAAAAAAAAAAAAGGCTTTTGTTCTGATCCTATTTAAAAAGCAGTGCACAATTTGCTCTCCAAGGGTTCAATAACAATAGGGAGTGCTCACAATACAAGGTGATTCGTGAAATTCAGTCATGCATAGTCATACATGTAGGTAATGATGTCACAATGGAATGGTGTATCAAAACAATGGCATACTATCCTCTTCTCTACTGTTACAAGTATTTAACTGAGCCACAACTTGCACTTGGTCTCTGGTGTATATATTTGGGTTACGATATATTATAATACAAAAATGTTAGGACAATATTGTACAAATATACGATGGCCCTCGAGGATCTAGCTGAACTATTCGCATCAAAGGAACATCAACTAGTACTATTCTCATGAGGGCCATAGAACTAATGATGTTCCTGAGTGCGAATATTTCAGCTTGTTCCGTGAATGAGTCATTGTATATTTGTTTTATATCCCTTCCATCTGTACCATTCCTCGTACACATCTGTAATTGAACCGTACTCACATTCGCATTCATTGCGGAAGTTATGCGGTCAAAAACTTTGTATTACACCCCCATTTACATGTACCGTATTTGCCGGTGTAAAGGCCGCAGTATTTTTGGAAGAGAAAATATCAAAAAGACGGGGTGCAGCCTTTGCGACGAAAGAGTAACAACAAAAAAAAAGTAAGTCAAAACCAGCACGAATTTGCACATATGGGACTACGAACGGTACAATAACTATACCACTATGGTACAGGACATTTCCACACATCTTACCAACAATTTTATCTTGCATTGTTGACTTGAAGACGAAACTAAACTTCCAACAACAACATCTGCCGATATATATCTTGATCTAAGTTCATGCCAATGCATTGCAAAAGTAAAAGAAGGGCCCGTTTAACAGAGCTGCCGCGAAGCATCCAGCACGCGAAGTTGCCATTTTGAATCAATTTCAATACACAAGAGCTGTGGCGCAATACACAAGAGAGAGGCGCAATGTATACATCAGAGAAAACTGCAGAGAACAGCATTAGTGCGGGATGGCCGAGCAGTCTAAGGCCGTGATTTTAATCACATCAACATTTGTACACAAGAGATAAAATCTCGTCTTCGACAGAAGTTTTCGTTTTTTTTTAACGTCAAAATCGGGGGTGCGGCCTATGCGGCGATGCGGCCTTATCGCCGGCAAATATGGTAGTTAATATCTGTTATACATATTAGATAACCTTGTACTTTGGTATAACATAATTAGAGTAATTGCTGTCTCATCCCCTGGTTTTCGTCCAGCCATCCAGCCTCCCACATCAAAATGTGCACAGCTTATAGACAATTGCTAGCAAAGGGCAGGGTTGCGGGCATACAGTATGCTTAATACTGCGTAGGATACACAAATAAACTCATTTTAACATGTAGTAAATACATGGAAAGTATAATCATTAAATTAATCAATGGCATGTGACGAGCCATGCATGGACTAAATATAATAATATAAAAGCATGGAGAGCTACATTACATATGACATACTTGTACAACCCTAAAGAAATGTTTCCTTGCTATTGCATTGTCCGGATCTCCAACGTAGGCGCAATCCCCAGTACATACAGACATTAATCTTGCTGCAGAGGGGCATATAAGTAATTATACTTGAAGCCCAACATCAAGGTAAACCAGGGTAAATCAAGGTAAATATGAATTTGTATCTGCATGAGGTATAAACATGTACATGTAGACATCTACACCTGTAGACTTGACAGTTTGATTTAGTAAAAATGATGATTGGATTTGGAAGAAAATATCTATTAATGTACAAATAATACACAGGTGTGGTCGCATTATAAATGGCTGATGCATTCATGAGGTGTAGCCGAGTGTATTTTGTGCCATTGTGAATACGGGAATAGCGCTGCATCGCCATAACGTCACAAACAAAAACCCGTGTGTTATTTGTTTTATAAAATGGGTCGACACTCTTACACAAGGCAATAACACTGTAAACCTGAAATCTTCATGAGAAATTACGTGCGTACACAGCCGAACGCGGCAGCAGTGGCCTCGTAAACAGACTGTGCAGTGCATGGTGCGACTTCTCGTAAACATGCATTGAATTACACGCAGCGTGCATTATGACTTTTTGTTGCACCTTTTTTGCACGCCTGTTGCACCAAAATACACTCCCGTGCATATGGTAAAAAACAATGCACGGTCACGTGATCCATTTTGACGCTTTCATTGGCTACATTCTCGAACCCATTTTATAACATAAAGTAACAAATCATTGGACATCAAAATGTATTAGGACTCAGGTCTGGTATCAGCTGATCTTGAAGCTACTGCCCACAGTGAGACCGGCAATCACACTCTAACTGCATTGAGAAACCTCTCCTCATGCACTAACCTGTATGACGCACTCAGTCTCTGTTCTGTATACAGGTGATATCAGAGACTGTAGCTTTCGACTTATGTAGGTTAAGGCTGCGACGAGTACTCGAATACTCGCATTGTTGACAGCTATTTTGTTGTACTCGAATACATGGCCGCCATTTTTTTTTTTTTTTTTTGCCAATTTTTTTTTCTTCTCCACATGGCACTGTGCCGGCCGGCCGAAACTCACCTGGGCCCAGAAAAGCACCGGCAGGCTACCGTGAGTAAAAATATTTCCCAGCTCAATCATACACGGGGTGTCACTGTCAACTCACCACTCAGAAACCAGTCAATTAATGTCCAAATTTCTGTTTGAACTTCAAGGATAATTTGTCTGTCATCTTTAGTTTTAAAAACAACATTGTTACTTTAAGTTGTGAGAATTAAGCTCATAATCACAAATCGGCGCCTTCAATTGGAACTCGCAGTAAAATACATGTAGGAGATGGGGCGCTTCCTACAACGTCGGCAAAAAAAAAATATATATATGTATATATATGGCCGCTGAGGATTTGAGTATTAGCCTGTAAGCCTGGAAGTGTACTTGAGTACCTCATCACACGGTTATGCACAACCTTAATAATAAGCCTGCAAGCATGCTGAAGTTGTAGAACTTTGGCCACAAATGTCATTAGAAATAGAAAGAGAGAGAAGAGAGAAAAGAAGAAAAGAAAGAGAAAAGACGTAGGCAGAAAAGTAGCAAACATAGAAACATTTTTTTAAATGCAGACAGGGATTAAGAGTTGGAAACAATACAGTGAATTGCTTCTTTCTCTAATTTATATTTAATGAAACTTCAAACCTTTCGCGCTTTGCGCAGGACGGGGGAAATAGAATTCAGATTCAAGAACGGTACAATGAATCGTCTCCTTTCTCTAATAATTTAATGAAATGTCACAGCTTCTGCGCGGGAGAAATGCCCCCCCCCCCCCCTGGAGAGCGCGATTTGGTCGGTCTGTATGCTTTGCATACTAATTACGGCCCCCCCCCCCCCTAAAAAGTAAAATAAACATCTAGCTACACGCTTGCTCATTTTGACCTCATGCATTCATGGCCTTGTCCATAGCCTGGGATTTGCCCACTCACTTTCCCATAACGATCATGCGTAATTACATCTTTGAAAATGAATTCAGAATGGACACCATCTGGTGATGAAAACAACATATGATTGGTACCGAGCTCTACACGGGGCTCTGCACTGCTCGTGCTAAACCATAGCATGATGCACCGAGAGCGATCGCCCTGGACCAGGCGTGTGGAACAATGCTCTTGCCGAAACCCCGAAGGACACCTGCGCCGCGCCCGCGCCCGTGAGAGCAGACTTCGTAATCAATTTTCAATTACCGACACTTTGCAGGCATTACAAACAACCATAAAATACTTAACTTTACGAGCAACAAACTATGTATTTATGGTTTTATTACCCTTCTTTTAAGCTCACCTTTCGACGGCGCAAAGATGAAGATTTCGACTTGTGTTGAGGTTATCCCCACTCAAATCTTGTCGAAAGCGTCCCGTTACTCGGAGGCCATTTTGGTTGATAACGTGCATAGTCAATATACCGTGTTCTCTGATTGGCTGCGACGTTATCAACGTTGTACGTGATTGGGCAGTTGTTTTACACCTGTTAATTGTTTTGGAAAAGGACTTTTGTTATCGTCGTGGATCATTGAAGCGTACAAGCGCGTTGACTCACAAAAGGGGAAGGGCATAATATATAGTGCGCTTATTAACCAAATCTGAATCTCAGTCTGAAAAAGAATAGTACTTAGTATGCAGTATCACTGTTCCTGATTTGAATTCAAATATAATTCCAACACCAGTCACCATGATTTTGCTCGTTGTCAAAACTCTTACTAATAATATTTTCGAATGCTTTACATAATTACTATGATCTACCAACCACGGAGGAAAGCTGGCACATCGACTCGTCCAAATGTCTTTGCTAATTTACTATTTCCTAAATTTTAGGAAGCAAAAACATTGGAAAGGTTTTACTTTGAAAGCTGTAAAGTAAATGGTATGGTTTTCTGTAACACTTGGAATGCCTGCCTATACAATCATTCATTTAAGTTCGGCAGGAAACAGGTCAGGCTTAGTTCCCTAGCAGACTTCCTATTTGTGGTTTAAATAAATATTTAAACAAATATTCTTGAACTTCAGGCTAACTGCATTTTTCTGATATCAAATAGACCCTTTTTGTGGACACTTTTTTTTTTTTTTTTTGGTCTCGAAATTGGAAAATTTGACATTTTTTCGTTGGGGGGGGGGGGTAAGGTCACTTTACGTTAGCCGAGGGCATAATTTTTTTTTTTTTTTTTTAATTTTTATTTAAAAAAAAAAAATTAACAAAAATACAAAGGGGGGGGGTTAGTTTTTTTTTAGGGGGGTTTACACACATAAAATACCAAAGGGGGGGGGGGGTTTGAACCCCCCCCCCCCCTGCGTACGCCCCTGTTCTACATTGAATTTATAAAAACTGCGGTTTATATCCCAATGTCCATTCAAAAACACTTCGTCTTTTGTGACACTGGTTATGCGCGAAAACAAATTAAGGAGTACAGACTTGTTTAGTATGTCTCTAAAATAAAAATAAAAAATAAAAATGAGAGGGAATCAGCTAGAGCCACGCAGAGCCACCCCCCCCCCCCCCCCCCCCCCTCTCCCTGTGAAACTCAGAGAATGTTTTTTTATCCAACGTCGTGTTCTATTAAACACCTACTCCCAGAATCTTTTGCAGTCTCGATTCCCTATCAACTTTGCATCTTGACCAGAATTAAAGCACGAAGATACCAAAGAATCTGCTTTGAAGGCAGCATCGTCTGACTGTCCTGGACATCAGCAACAATAATAATAATAATAATAACAATATTTATAAAGCGCAACATATCCATCTCAATAAATTTGACTTGATACAAAATGTTTCCAATATTAAAAGAAAGACTATTTTTTCCAAGAAACAGTACTCTGATACTAGATGCATCCCAAAACCGTCCTTTCCTGTACCTGTTATCTTAGTTGGTTGTACAGATGATTAGTTCTAACCATGTTGACATCATCCATCCTGCAAGACGTACTTTCTTCACCCGAAGGAGAAGAACTCCACCCATTCTCTCATTCCATTCCGAACATTACTTGTTGCATCTAGGGAGCATTATGACTGTCATCATTATGTGTATCCCTCGCAATTTATTGTTCTGCTTGCAGTGAAATATTTGCTGGCTCACCGGGAGTATTGGTGGTTCAACTAAGTGAAAACTTGAGAAAATAAAGACCTTATTATGTCTATTTCTGGCTTTTATAAACGATGTTTGATGCCACCCCTAAAAAAGCTTCCAATTAAAGTGAAAGCATGCCCATCCAACGATAGAACATAATTATGCCCCGTTGGATCGAGCTGAACTTATCCTGGGCGGCATGTGAAGAGGGCGCAAAAAACAAAAAGGGCCTATTTAAAAGGGGGGCAAAAGAGAAAGTGAAAAATAGAGAAAATGAAGACATATTATTACTACTTCTGGCTTTCATAAACGATGTTTGATGCCACCCCTGAAATAAGCGTCCCATCAAAGTGAACGCATGCCCCTCCCACTATTATGCCCCCTCCCCCCCCCCCCCCCCCATGGAGCTAAACTTACCATGGGCGGCATGTAAAGAGGGCCCAATTAAAATGTAATAATGCGCAAAAGAGAGAGTGAAAAATTGAAAAAAATTAAGACATGTTATACTACTTCTGGCTTTTAAAAACGATGTTTGATGCCACCCCTAAAATTAGCGTCCCATCAAAGTGAACGCATGCCCCTACAAAGTTAAAACATGCCCCTCTGGAGCCAAACTTACCTTGGGCTGCATTTGAAGAGGGTGCAATATAAAATTATTTAAAAGAGGGAGGGGGGACAAAAAAAGATACGCCAAAGAGAAACAAATGAAAAAATGAGAAAATTATAACTATACTCTGCATTAAAATTCATAGGGTAAACAATATTATGACAATATGAAAATAATGTGAAAATTTTCTAAAACTTGCTCACTTTGCTCTCTCACATTAAAGTGCTTCAGGATCTCGTTATTTCGCGCCTCAGTATATGACGTAGATTATAAATAGCTTTTTAAGAGGTTCAACTTTAAACAAATAAAATGTAAATTTCATTGCTATATTCCCTAATTAGGCCTACAAGTTGCATCGGCTTAAATATATTTGGCCTACATATTATTTTATCAAAAGTATTCTATCAGTTGTTAAATATCATGCTCCGAATAAAGGATGATATAGGCTATAGCATGACAACAATACATCACTTAGGAACATTAGTATTCAGAGCTATATTATTATTATCACTATTATTATTGTAGTTATTATTATCGAAATAACAGTGGCTAATAATTGCCCCTTTTGTAGGTCCCTTTTGCAGCCAACATTAAGTTCTGTAGAACTTTGCAGGAATTATAAATATGTCATTTATGTCCTTTCTGTGAAATTTAAACGTTAGCAGTGTCTTAATATCCAAATTATGCAAAGAAACCCGTTTACTTGCTAGACTTCACTGTCAGACACTATTGAGTGACTGACTGGCTTTTTTCGTCGTTGGTACTAACATACATAAAATGAGCTGTAAAGGGTACATGAGCATTTGTCTTGAACATCAATAACCCACTTCTTGTAATGGCCAAAATTAAACTGATTGAATCCTTGCGCAGCATAAAACGTACGACCATTCGGTACAATGGTCTGAAAAATCAGACTATTACTTACTTGCTCTATAGCTCCTAAGTCGATGGTTACATAATTATACATTTAAAAAATACTGCTAGGTCACTTTGCTCCCTTGCTTGTTAAGTAACGTAGATATAAGTGGGGGGGGGGGGGGGGGGGTAATTTAGTTCTTTTCCTCGATCGGGTGCCTTTAATCCAGATAACTGTATGCACATATAAATATTGAGGCCCGGGAGGAAGGGGGCGCCGCTTTTTGTGGCGATCGACCTGTGTTTTGGGTTTTTTTTTTTTACCATCATCCGTCACAGTGCTTCCTTGATGACAACTTAACAAATTGATACATTTTCTATTTTTAATCGGATATTGCTCAAACTTTCCTCCTTTTATTATTGGTCAGGATCTCTGCTAACTCCAGTCCAGGAAGCTCCGACGAAGGCGTCAGCGTCGGAGCTTCCTGGAGTTAGATCTCTGCATGCACACTGCAAAGCGAGCCCTCTAGGTAGGAAAATGCGCGCACGCATGAACACGTAGCAAAGTGGGTTTTCCCCACTGCTGGTTTTCCCCATTGAATGAACAAACACAACAACTTCGAGCTGTAGTATTATGTGAATGTGATTGCTACGCTACGTACATAATATCAGCTGGACGAATGAAAGAGAGAGGGAAGCAAGAGACAAACGGAAACCATCCAGCCTAACAGGAGAACGGTAAATCAGACATATATGTCATATGAATTTAAATGTTCATTTTACTTTAGAAATTAGAATTAGATTGAGATCTACTGGCGCTGGCATGGCACAATTTAGGTTAGTGTAGTCGTAGATCTAGTGGGTAAAAAGCCCAGGCCCCAGATATGATGATCTTGCGGGGAGTCGATATAGACCCTATTTCTGGTCTGGTCAGCAAAATTTCCTCTTGCTGGAAAATTCTGGACAGTAAAGAGAGACTGTCAGAGTTGTGGAACTGAATGGTTATATATAGCACAGTCTGGAGAGAGAGAGCATGTAGCCAGGCCATGCCAGGTGGGGGTGGTCGTCCCAAAAAAAAACGCGCCACCCCCCCCCCCCCAAAAAAAAAGAAGAGATTTAAGAAAGGAAGAGGACGTAGGAAGAAAAAGGATTAAGAGTCGAGAACGGTACAACGAATCGTCTTCTTTCTCTAATAATTTAATGAAACGTCAGAGCTTCCGCGCTTTGCGTGGCCGTGGGAGGGCAGGGGAACTGATTTCAGATAAGGATTAAGAGTCGAGAACGATACAACAAATCGTTTTCTTTCTCTAATAATTTAATGAAATGTCAAAGCTCTCACGTGGGGGGGGGGGGGGACTGCAATATGAATTAAGACAAGTATTTAGAGTCGAGAACGGTACAACGAATCGTCTTCTTTCTTTAATAATTTAATGAAATGACAGAGCTTGGGCGTGGAGGAAGGGGAACTGAATTTAGACAAGGATTAAGAGTCGAGAACGGTACAACGAATCGTCTTCTTTAATAATTAATAAAACGTCAAAGCTTCCGCGCTTCGCAACCCCCTAGGGAGCGCGCTATGTAAGTGATTCACACGCCTCACATGCTCACTGCCGCCCCCCCCCCCCAAAAAAAAAAAAATCCTGGCTACGCGCTTGAGAGAGAGAGAGAGAGAGAGAGGGGATGGGAATATTCTGAATCTGTAGGTATTCTTTAAAAGTTAGGGCCATATATAAAATGGCATGCTCCTTGACTTTTTAAATTCCAATTTTTTATGATTCACTATTATTCGTTACCACCTACGGCCGTGTTTTGTGCACTGTAGCCTGTACTGTAGGCTGTTGCTATTTACATGTATATGTACCGTACTCGCTGAAGGAAACCGTCACTTATAGACCATTTTGCATTGATTTTAGATAAATCTTCTTCTGTAGTTTGCTTGACAATTAGTTTATTTCCAAGATTAGAACAATCTTGGGTATTTCAAAATCCATTTGGACTTCCTGTATATAGTGACCTTTGACTTTTAAAATTTGGTAAACAACATCCATACAAGTGGGATTGTTTCGGGCTCACCCCATTCCCGTGCATGCATCATACCTTAAATGTACAAGATTTTGAGCTGTTTAAAGGTAATGCAAAGTTTTGGGGATATTTTGAAAATTGGACTGATAGTGATTCTTTACAATTTTGATATATTTGGATGCCCCTGTGGATGTATTATAAGCTCTAGAAAATTTAACCCGTAAAACACTTCTGCTTTCGAGAAATTGAATAATCAAAGGTGCTCCTGGTAAATTTCAAATATTTCAAATAGCGCCTCAGGTCATTCCATGGTAGCTGCAACCATGAAAATGTCAGAATATGCAGTTCTGATATATAATTTCCAAATGGGAATACCAAATCGGTCAATTGAAGTCAGGAAACATTGTTTTAAGGCTCAAGTAATATCAGTCTTGAGAGGGCGCTATACAACATAACAAGTTTATTATATACAATCTCATCACTTTAGACTCAAATTCAACCGGGACAACGTTCATTGAATATTTCAAAAATTGCATATGCTTCCAACATGTTAATTTGAACCAAATTTATGACCCCATACCAAAACTTTGGATTACCTTTAAGTCTGAAATCTCAGGCCCATAACTATAGGGAGGGGAGGGGGTGGGGGGGGGGGGGGGGTAATGCAAACATTATATTAGGTGGACCCTAGACCCAACCTTAGTTAAGGGCCTGAATCTCTCAAGCAACTTGCAAATGTTTTTAATCAGATTCTACACGAGAATCATCAGACTCATTCTCATTGGCCCGAATTCACAAAGGAGGTTTGAGCTCAGACCAAGGTTTTCGTACGTCATATGACGCGTTTTACGCATTTTTTACAAACCTGGTTTGTAAAGAACAAAAGGAGGTTTGGCGAAACAAAAGGAGGTTTGAGCTCAAACCTTGGTCTGAGCTCAAACCTTACTTTGTGAATTCGGGCCAAGATCTTTGTTAAATATCAAGCCTTCATAATATAGCAATTCTCATGCATCGATGCTCAACAAGTGCAAAAGTGCCCCTTATTTTACTGCTCTCTCTACTTTAAAGTGACTCGGTAACATTGTTGAAGGTTGATGAAAAAAATTGCTTAATTTTTGTATAAAATGTTACTTACTATATTCCTTCTACTATACTAACCCTCTGACATGCAAAAAATCCTGAACAAATTCACAAACCACAAAGATATCTATGGTTTTCTTTGAAGGCATCGATGTGAGGCACCCTCTAACAGTGATTAACAGTAAATTCTCCCAACCATTTTTGAATTTTCCAAACCGTTTTTCCATGAGAAAAATACATAAAACAGGCTATAAAAATCTGTCAACACTTAACTGTCTGGAATGGAATGTAGAGCCATTTTAGTGCTTTGTGACGATTTACATTCACCTAAAATGTAATTAAATTGTCCTTGTCTTGATGCTGAACAGGCTTTGACAAGTAGCAGAATAGAAGTAGAATAATATAGTTGGGAGAATTAAAGAATCGATCAGATCATTTTTTCCCAATTTATACCATGAATAATGATACGTTTTCACTCAAATTTTCAGATTATCTTTAATTGTACATCTAGCATTGAAGTCACTACCTTAGCACCACTATCTCTCATCTGAACAATGTTACAAAGTCCCTTTAATAGTAAACCGTCTTATGGTATAAACTCTTTTTGTTTGTGTACGCACATTTTTTTCACAGGAACACCATGTTTTCAGTGTAAATGGGCTGTATTTATAGACACTACCTACCAATTTCATCTTTACGCTTTAGTGAATAATAGGAAAGGCAGTCATGGGCAGTTTAGTGTCTGTCATAAAGGATTTTTTTCCAGACTAGAAAAGCAGGAAATGTACTGCTCAAAGGTTATCTAGAGTTAGTGAAGCATATTATGTAGAAGTGCATATGAATTTGCATTTATGACACAGAGGGTTATTTCATGAATTCTCAATACCAATTGAAATTCCTGTGACTTTCTCTTTTTTTTAAAAAACCTTTGCAGAGCTCTATTAACTGCCAATTGAGCCATCAAGGCAGCCTTTAATTGTTTCAAGTGCTTCATCAATGGATGTCTCAATTACCAGAAGTCTAAGAATTCAGGAAGCAAAGGTTTAGCGTGTATTCCTGAAGATTCAAAGTGATCACATTCCATGTGGTCACTATGCCTAAGAAGAAGGGTTCACACAAGAACAAAAAATGGCAACAGTCATCAGCAAAGCACGTCAGCCAAAGAAGCACCAAAGATGAGAGTACGAAAGGACCCAGTTCCGATCCCCAAGGGACACCAGGCGACAGAGAGAAAGCATGGCGCACGAGTGATGGAGCCACAGGTTAGTTTTAATCAAGCAGACATTTCATTTTCAGGCAAACATACAGTCGAGTGACCCATATATGAGAATGTGGATCTACTCTTTCCTTTAAATAAATTTTGTTTACTCTTGTAGGGTAATTGTAATGTAAAAGTGAGATAAAAATCATCATAATATTCCCCGCTTCTGCTGAGCTACAACGATGAGGCAATAAGCAGTCTCAGAATTTCTTCTTATACTGGGTACCCATTTATCTCTCCTGGGTGAAGCATGGCATATAATGGTCAACGCCTTCTACAACTTCTTCTGGAAAACTGCATGTAAAACAAATTGACGTGATTAACGGTTAGCGCATGCTAGAGTTCGCGAAACAGACCAAAATTCTCCTCACGCTTTGGTTTTGCGTATGTTGCACGCTCGTGAATACTGCGGTCGCATCGTCCGTAGTGGTATTATACCCGATTGGCCTCAAGTCAGGCCAAGGGAAAGACATAGTCTCGTTATGCTACACCCCCTTTAACCCTGTCCTACTTGAATTACAAGATCATTACACATCTAATAGAGAGGTGATCTGCATCATATAGCTAGTGAAACTTTGGGTAGTTTTCCGTAATTGCCATGCAGAGTAGCTATTTTCATCTCTTTTTTTAATCTTCCATCAAAGCAATAGCTGCAATGCGACTTGAAGAGGAGGACGTTCAACGAGACAGGATGGCTCCACTCCAAAACCGCAGCCCACCGGTTGACCAACCTTCATACGATGTGGAAGTACAAGAGAACTTGCTTCAGAAACTGCCAGGTATATCCTTGATTAAGTTATCGTTTTTAATTATGCCACACAGATTATCTCCCTGTGCAACATTGTATTTATCATGGGATAGATATGGTATATTTGAAGGCTATAAGATTATCTAACTGTTTCCAGTGAAAGATTAATCTATACCTGTGTTTAAAAGGCAATCATGGATCTAACCAAGACTGGTATGTGTTTTTGGTGTATAAAGCCAATGTGTTGACATCTGTAATAACTTTTTTGTTTGTTTTTAACTTGGTGAATCCATAAGGGTTGAAACGACACCATGCAATTTTCAGGAGGCCCACTGTAAGTGAAGAAATTACTTCAAACCCAAAGAGAAGACTATCTTAAAACCTGTTTCAGCTTAATATGAATAAAAGACAAAAAATTGATTGGAATCCGAAAAGGTCAATTTTTTGCAGTCACAAAGATGATTACAAATATCAGTTCTGTATCTTATTTTCCTTTTGAGCTACACTTTCCTTTCATTTTTAAACATCCTTCAGAGCTCACCGAACTCACTCTGTGGAAGGTCAGTGAGGTCATTTCACCGCACAGATTCATGCCATTGGGACTGAAGCTTGGTCTACCTCAGATAAAGCTGAAGATCCTGCTTGATGAAAGAAGCGTCATCTGCCAACAGGAAGAGAAAACCTTCATGATGCTCTACCAGTGGTACAATGACCAAGGAGGTGACCTGTCCAAGTTCTTCTTCAAGGTTCTGACAACAGACGAGGGTCTAGACCAGGAACAAGTCTTCAAATTTTGTAAGTCCAAGCTTGGTAGTGCTACAATACTGTAAAAAATAGATGTAGGGCTAAACAGGAAATGGGGGTAACGAGTTTCTCTTCAGGGCATTGAATGGTGTTCCTAGACTGTAAAGAAGGTATGTAAAACCAACCTTGCTAAATATGAGAATGAGTGATGGTGATCCTGATGACCGATGAGGACCTAGACTGGAAACAAGTCCTCAAATTGTGTAAGTCAAAGGGTAACTAGATTATTTTAGGAAGCATTTCTGAAAGACTGTAACACTGTGATGATTGACCAAATATGGAACATGAGAATGAGGATGACATTTTGTTAAAAATGTCATGTTAAATATACACAAACAATGCTCCCTGCTTTGGTATTTAGATTGAAAGTGAAACATAACCCATTGTGTTTTGGTTTCTTTCAGTTTTTGAGCAGCAGCACACATGCACAAGCTTTTTTGGAAGATCTTTCCAGGATTTGCAGCTGTGGGATATAGCAGAGGAACTCCATGTGGCTAAGCTGATCCCGTTGAGTCTTCGATTAGGTCTGACCTATGCAAAGATCTGCAGTATTCGAGAGGACAGCAACAGTCATTCTGTAGATGTCCGCTACAACGTCATGGTAAAGTGGCAAAAGGAACAAACAGCTCAGATCGACCAGGTCGAAACTCTCGCCAGGATTCTGGAGGCATGCCGTGAGAGAAGAATAGCATACAAGATCCGTAAGTTTTCAGTACATTCATGTTCTTCAGATGTTTCCTTTCTTTCTTTTTTCAGAAGTGCAACGTCAAGAACACAGATGTAATTCATGTTTTCATTTGAGACTTGATCAAAATATCTCAGAGAATCTACATTTCACTCTAGGTAGCTGGACAAACGAAGACAGAAAAAGAACAAATATGTTCCTCTCATCATAGTGGACAGAGTAATTGTAGAATTAGATTGAGCAAAACAGGAAATAGATAATGCAGGAGATGGAAATTGTATTGGCATCTACTGTACCTGAAACTAATTCAAAGCTTTTTCTTGTAATCATCAGGCCAGAATCACTTGGGTGTCACCAATGAGGGGAAGACTTTGCTTATCAGTGAAGACCAGCCTATGGAGGGAGTGGCAGGTATGATATTTTACATTCACGCTTTCTTGGGAGTACGACATTTGCTCCTGGAACAATAATTACTCAGCATCACAGACCAAATTTTTACTTTTATCCCTGGACCCAACATGATATACCTGTCCCTAATCCTAGAACCCAAAACCTAACTTAAAAGTTAAAACCCGCTTAAAACCCTAATGCTGCAAATAGGATTAAGTAAAATCCAGTGCAATTTTAGCGGGTTACCATCACCAAAAATGGGAAGACATCGCCAATGTATGAACATCAGCCGATGAAACGTGATGCAGGTATGACATTCTATATTCACCAACACTTCAGAGACGATTCCAAGTCAGGATGTGATTCTTAGATGTTTAATTCACCTAGCAGGATTGTTGTTGCTTCTGTTGAATGTCCTCAAAGCTTTTTAATAACTCCCATCAATGTTCTAGTTTTTGTGTCGGTCTCTGTTTCGGGGCCATAGCTTTCTTCTTTTCTTTTTTGTGGAGAAGAACAAAGCAATGTCCTCTTACAACTAAGCTTATTTTTATACCTTTTTCTTGTTCATGAATGGTTCATGTTGTGTCTTTGTTTCCACAGAAGTTCAGCTCAATGTCACCCATTCCAACCAGTTGGTAAGGGAAGAAGCACAAGGTAAAATAAAAGCTCTCCTAGATGCCAGTTCCTCAGAGGTCAGTCTAGTCCCATCCACAGGAGTAGCAGCAGATTTTCTAGAGGGGCTGAAGACATTCAGCAACTTGTGTAAGCGTCACTCAGACTTCGTGAAGTGCTTGGAGAGGAGCATAGGGAGGGATGGATTCTACAAGCTCATTGGATTGACTCATGATTCTATTCATTTCCATGTGAAGGTGTACACCATTGAAGGGCTACGTTGGCTTCAAAGTGATGTCCAAAGCGGGCGCATCGGACATCAGCTTGGAAAGGTGCTCGTCTCCGAAAAAAACAAGCAGCTAGTTCTAGAAGATATCGTTCTAGACGTTGCGCCTGAAGGAAGTGGTGCTTGGGATCTACTTTCACATGCAGTCATTGACCCAATCCTTCCCAGCACTAGTCTGTCAACAGATTTTGAGAATAGGGAAGCATTGAAAGAAGACAGAACATCATCTCCAGATCTCATGGCCCACCAAGAATACCCAGTTGTCCCGGAAGCCACTGTCAGAAAGCAGGTAGTCACTCAGGAGGAAGAAAACTCTGGTCACCTAGCTGGTGGGTCTCCTCTGGCAACACCTGGAGAAGTTGCTTCAGTGGCATCTCATGTATCAATGAGACAAGAGAAATGTGGGCCTGTAACAAGCACAGAAAAAGCATATCCAGGTAAGAACAATTATATTTACATTTAACTACTCGTACTTCTACATCTCAAAGATTTGTCCTTATCCTTACATCTTGACTTGAAGGGAATTTGTGATTCGTCAAAAGGCAGAAAGTTCATTTCAAGACTTTATCTGATCCATGTGTGTTTAATTTGTATGAACGTGAAATTTGCCTGAAGTAAAAAGCAGTCCAACCCTTGTAAGAAGTTCATTTGTATGAAAGCAGCAAAATGAGATATAAGAATGACGAAAGTTGGAAATAAATTGGATCAATATTGAGAGTCAGAGCTATAAATGTTAGTGAATCTCGAATGGGTAATTTTGTCCGTGTGTTATGATGTAGACACGAACAACTCTCCTGTTTTTCATTTACATAAATATTACATTTGTTTTTCTCCAAAGTACCTTCTCCCTTCGGGTGCTACTCAAACCTCATAGATATTATGGATAACATGTAATTGTAGGTCCTCTAAATAAAAAAAAGATCCTCCTTTGTCATACATTAAATTGAACCAATACGTATAGTGATTACAACTTTTGACTTTCCCTTTTTTGGTCCCATTTCACTCGAAGTTTCACCAGGATGCTTCTCTTATTTTTCTGCTTTCTTCTTGGGTAGTTTTGCTATCAATGTTGGATTTATCTTTAAAGCAATTGTTACCAAATGCCCAAAGTTAATTTTGTGTGATGCTTGTACATGTAAATGTATTTTAGATTGTGGTAGAACGGGTATGGAGGTAAAATATTATTCAATCATATTGTACTGCAATGAATGCTGAAAGGATAGGGAGGTGTTGTGTTATAGTGGTTCATTCACTTGACCCTCCATCCTAGGGTGGAGGGTTCGAATCCCAGCTCGGCACCAACATTATTTGGTAAAACATTTTTCCACATTTGCCACCCTCAACCCTGGTGTAAATGGATACCTAGCAATTGTTTGGGTAAGAATAATTTGAGAGCCATCAAGGAGAACAACATTAATGCTGATAAGACTTTCCTGGGTAAAAATTAATTAGTATTATTACCAAGGGAACTTTGTAGTATATTTTTAAGACAGCATTACTGATTATATGAATGGATGTCTTGTAGAGGTTAATATTTATTTTATCTTTACATATATGATAATATTTGGGACTTTTAAATTTTAATACGTGTATTTATATATTTCAGGTGAAGCATCAAAAGAGATGAAGGACTGGACAGAAGAAGAGGTGGCCATCTGGCTGAAAAGTAACGTACGACTCTCCGATGAACTTGTCAGTAAGTTTGAAGGGGTGGATGGTTTCACGTTGGTGAGGTATACCAAACATGAACTGATAGAAGATTTCGAACTTTCTGCAGGATATTGCAGAAGATTGATGTTAAGGAGGGAGCATTACCTTGAAAACGAACGAATGGGCATCGTGACCACTCCGGAATCTGCATCATCTGATAGTAGAGATGGAAAAAACAAGGTAAATGCAATGGAGAGTGTGAATACACCCAGTCCAGAGCTTACCCCACCACCAGCAACATCAGCAGATTCAGATGAACCGGTACCACAGGGGGAAAGTATGCAAAATACCTCATCTTCTTCACCTATGGGTAACATCCAATTAGACTCCAGAGATGTGGAAGCTCCTGGAAAGAAACAAACTACAACAGCTCCTGCTCTAAGGGAAGTTCCTGTTGCATCTCTTAAGATGGAACAGGACACCCTGGAATCTGCATCATCTGACAGTAGGGATAGAAACTACATGGTAAGTGCAATAGAGAGTTTGAATGCACCCGGTCCAGACTTAGTAGAACCTACCCCACCACCAGCAACGTCAGTACCATCGGCAGATACAGATGTACCAGTACCACTAGGAGAAATTATGCAAAAAACCTCTTCTTCATCTATAGGTAACATCCATGTAGACTCCAGAGGTGTGGAAGCTCAGGGTAAGAAACAAACTACAACAGCTCCTTCTGTAAGGGAAGTTTTTGTTGCATCGCTTAAGATGGAACAGGACACCCTGGAATCTAATGTAGACATGGAGACAGGATACGGCTCATCCTATACTTCTGCCACACCAAATCCATCTGAAGTGGATTTACCATTGCCTCCATTTCGTCATCCAGAAAGGCAGGAATCACTGTATCAGGGGTCTGGGATTGAAGGTAAGGACGGTGACTCAAATGCAGAAAGAAAGCTTACTAATCTTCTTCTTGGGTCTGACAAAGGTGAGCTTGATTCATCCTACTACCCAGTTCTGGTTGTCAACACACCTGCTCAACAGTTGAGTTCTGCAGAGTTGGAGGAAAGGTTTGGTTTCATGTCTTCTGTCAATTGGAATGTTGTATTTGACTGCAATGAAGATTCCAACAAGATGGGGCTCTGTCATTATGTGAATCAGAAGAAATCAATTAAGATCTTGAGTGCAGATACATTCACAGAGACCAAGGATGTAGATGCCCTTAGAGAAGATATTGACTTCCCAGAGATCCCTGTTTGGGTGTTCCCTAATGGTCGGAATGATGTGAATGTGGCAGGAATGGACAAGATGTTAGATATGGACTGGATGAGAGAGCGCTCACATGCAGTCTTGAACACTGTCCGGTTCTTCTCTGACCCTGGTGTCATTCCGCCAGGCAGAGCAGTTGTTGTGTTCTTCCTGCTTTCATATTTAGATATCATGGTCATGACACAGTTGTTCAGGGAGTTCTACACTTCCAAATCGTTTCAGGACCTGAAACGTTTCACTGTCATCGCAGAGAATCAAGGTATACTGCACAAATGGATTCAGCATCTTGAAAGTCAAAGCATCGTTTCAAGCAAGGATATGAAAGATAGATGTCTTGGAGGAGTGCCATGGCAGGAGATCAACACATACATGTTGAGACTTCTAGGGTCCTGTGAGACACGTTTGCCAGAACTTCCCATGTTTCCTAGAGGACAGTGCGAACTAAGGAAGAAACACCAGAGTCAGTGGACAGACATATCAGTCCTAGCAAAGAATGAGTGTGAAAACACTTCTATGGATGAGAATAACCCCAAATTCTTAGACTTTGTTCAAGAGAAAGAGTCTCGATTCTATCAAGGTCATGGAGTTGACTGGTGGAATTTCTATCTGTCGGAAGAGAGGCTGAATGGAGGTAAAGACTACAATCATGTTCTGAAGCGTCAGATTTACAACAGGCTCCATTCTGATGTTCGTAAAGTACTCAATTCTCAAGGCAAGAAGGTCTCCCACATTTCAATGGCAACTGTCTTTCATGAAGCAGGCTCAGGAGGCACAACGGTAGCAAAGAACCTCTTGTGGGACTTGCACCGACAATACAGATGTGGAGTTGTCAATAGGGTCACTAACGACACAGTGAATCAGATTGTTGCCTTCCACAAGTATGGCTATGAGGAAGGACAAAATCCAGGGCCAGTTGTCCTCCTCTTGGAAAACCTGGATTCTGAGACCATTCGACCGTTTCTAATAAGCCTTGAAAGAGAAACCAGGTACTTAGAAAACAATGGATTGGCTTTTGTTCTCATCCATTGCAAAAGAACCTCAGAGCCGCAACGCCATCAGCAGAAGGAAGAATCAAAGACATGCGCTTGTGTTGAACATAAACTAACAGAAGAAGAGAATCAGTGGTTCACAAAGAAGACCAAAGATCTTGAGCAGAGGAGTGTGTTCAGTGAAGAGGAGTCTCCTGAGCTACTTCTTGCTTTCATGGTAATGAAAAAAGAATGTAATCCTGAATATCTGAAAAATGTTGTGAAGGGCATTCTTCCTCAAGTTGGCAAAGAGCCCAAGAAGTCACTCCAGAATGCTGTCAATCTATTGAAGTATATCGCTGTAGTGCGGAAGTACAATCCTGGTTTTGCAATGCCTGTTTCTGCCTGTGACGGTTTTATGCAAAGTCAATACAGAGTGATGTCCACTGGTCGGCGACAGACGCTTGGACCCTGGGAGAAACATAGGGAGCCATTTCTGAACCTGCTTCTCCTCGAAGTATTCATTCAAGATATTGATGGCTGTGTGAAAGGCCTTGCAATCGTCCATCCTGTTATTGCTACAGAGATTGTAAAGCAGCTTGGTGAACTCTTCCAACAAAAACCTGCTGACATGATCCTTGAACTTCTTGAAAAGTCAACAATCCTTGACACCTTGTCTTACAGCAAAGGCTACATTCAGAAGGTTTGCAGGGATTTGATGGTAAGGAGACTGAAGAAAGAGTACGGAGATGATAGAGAGACTGACTTTGCCCCTTTCATTGAAGATGTATATGCAGAAGATAGGGCAAAGGCATACAAGATCATGGAAGTTGGCATCAAGAAATTCCAAGACCCATTCATAGCACAACAGAAGGCTCGACTTCACAGCAAGCGAGAAGATGATTTTGATAATGCAGAGCAAGCCATCAATATAGCACTAAGCATTGTCTGCAAGAACTCATACTTGTGGGACACAAAGGGAATCATCCTTCGACAGAAGATGACACAGTATGAGCGCAGGGTGGACAAAGGAATTATCAGTGACAGTGAAATGAAGGAGTTGTTGGATACTTTCCGTGAATCTTGCACAGCATTTCAAAATGCTCAGAAGGCTATGGAAGAAGAAACAAGAAAAAGGAATTATGCTGGCTTTGTGGGTGAAATCACCACCATTGCTAAATTCCTGGAAATTGTACTGAAGAGGGTGAGACCTTTCTGTTCCCGGAATAATGGATTGGAGACGTTGAGGCGGTATCTAATGACAGAATATATTCCTCCTGATCTCACCCTACCTTCACTCTTTGAATTCAGTGATACCATGAAATCCTTGGCAGGGAGGGTCGACGAAGTGCTAGGACGTTTCACTGACTATCTTGCTCACTGTGCACAGCAACGATTTGATGGAGCCTCGTACAGAATCTATGATGACAAATTGGAGAAAATCTACACTGCCAGACAACGCTTCTTTGCTCTGTCGTCTCCAAAGTCTAAAGATGTACATGTGCATGCACAGTACCCAGTGGAAACTGCTTATGCGATGAGACGATCTGAAGTGAAAACGATGAATGCGGATGGATACCAACAGATCTTTGACATGGCTTCAAAGAAGAAAGTGGCTGATCTCAAACAGGTTCAATCTTTGCTCAGGCAAAACCTTAGTAGTCCAAGTCTTTTTGACATCAGGAACTTTGTGTTTACCCTCTTTGCCTTGTCTGTCTGTCCCAATGAAGGATTAGATGAGGCGGAGGCCAGAAAGTCAGTGAACATCCTGAAGATGATGGAGGAAAAAGACAATGGGTTCTTTGGCTTGTTCTTTGAGATGCTGTTAAATTGGCCCGATGGCACACCCAGAGAAGGAAGCACACCAATCGGAGAGACAATTAGGCAACTGAATGCTAGGTGGACTGGTAGATACCGCAATAAGGTGTATGCAGAGTCTCGACATGACCTGCCCAAACGATCCAGAATTCGTCAAAATTACAGCCCCCTGAAGCCTTCCACAGAGTTCTATCTTGGACTTCAGAATGAGAAATCCCAATTTGTCCATCGAAAGTCCATTGGACGAGTCACGTATGACATATGGAAAGAAGACTCCATCAAGAAGAGACTCAGGCGGTTGGATGGTGTCCTAGACAGCAAGCACTTTGTCTTGTACAACCCTGATGGAGAAGAACCAGTGAAGATCCTTCTGTCTCTTCCAATCAAGGGTCTACCTAGCCAGGAACCTGTTCAGTTCTACCTAGGGTTCTCATTTGCTGGCCCTCTTGCGTATGATGTAGTGTACAAGGACAACAGAGAGACCCCCTTCATTGCGAAAGAAAGTTCTTCAAACTACCCTTCATATGTCAATGAACTTGATGATATTGATGAGGTCCCTGTAAGCTATGACTTCTAAAGTTCTATGGGACATCAAGAAGCTTAGATTCTACAGATTATGTTGCTTAGAAAATACAGGAGTGCAATTGTCTTCAGTTAATGGATAACGTTTGTTCAGAGTGCTCCATTTCTTTCCCACCAATCATCAGACTAGCAAGTATGTGCATATGCTTGAATTCCAACAGGGGTAATCATATAGTTTGTGATGAATTCCTGAATGTTTTCAAAGTACAAATGAAGAAATCTGAACATGTACACTTGAAATTATTTTTCTTAAATATTTGTAGCTGTAAGTAAGACATAAATCCATGAGATCTTTCAAAGTCTGCTTGTCATCTTAAAGCGGGACTGCACTACTTGTAACTACTTTCGCCCTCTATATAGCATACAATGCCTTAGCGGTACCATTGGTTCCCCATGATCCCCTTTTTCTTATGTTAATTGAGAGCTGATTTGATGAGATAACCACGCAGGGAGGTCTAATCTCTCCTAGCCAAACTAGTGCAGATAGGCTCGAAGCAGGTGCATTTATTGATACATGTACTGTTGTTATGTAGTTGCTTTTCAAGGCCGGGTTGTCAAATTTTGTCTGTGCAAATTGATTATATGACGGGAAGTGCTTGTTACAGCTTTAAAAGGTTCTATGAAATAGTCACACATGTCTGTCGCAAATAATACTATTTTCCTGCATCCATTCATGTTAAAATAATGTATCAAACTTGTACATGAATCGTTTCTTTTTCTTTACAATGTGATGTGACCATGTTCATTTAGAAGTAGATGTATATATATATATACAGATATGACGTTCAAACATGATTTTCTTTTGAAATTGTGGCTGTAGATGTTCCATTTACCAACTTTAATTACATTTATTGGTCAGTGATATAGAAGAGGTTTTGTTTGTGCTGAGGTTGTGAGAGACTTTGAGGATCTGTGGGATGTTGATTATCACTTTTTTTCGATATGCTCCAGTTGTATGTATTTTGCTCAAAAAATTAGAATATATGAATCAATATTTTGAAGTATAATTTCTTTTAGAATGAAATCTAAAGAGAATATGATATTGTATTGTTTGCAAACTGTTTTCTGTCATCGATTTGTTTTTGATTTGTAACCCCAGCTGTTCAGGCTACCAAATGTGTGGGCATAATCTGTAATATTTGTGAAATGTTAGAAATATGTTTGAAATACAAGGGAGAAAAAAAGTGTTCGATGGAAAATGAAATGAATTCATTGTTTGTCAGTGATATTTGAAACCACATGAATTCAATAAGTTTGAGTTCTATGTATAAGAGAAATATGTCATGTAAAAGAAAAGGAGAAGAATTAATTGTTATTATGATGTCTCTGATCTTATGGATAGGCAGAATACCATTGCTGTTTATTTCCATTATGGTCTTGTACACACTTGCATATCAAATTGTATCTGCTTTTAACTATGTAGCTCGTGTGCTAATACACTGTACTGTATTATTTAGGTGAAAAGAACATGATGTGCTATTGCATGTCATATATATAACTTGACTGTGTTATGTTCAGAGAAACTGTAAATAAAAGCAATTGTAATGTATCATACATAAATGGGAGTCTTGTTGCTGTTGAAAGTATTTGCAAATGTGATGTTTAGTGTTGCCTAATTGACACGCTGAGTTGACCGGTCAAGTGGAACAAACTCCACGAGACTTATTACCATGTAATATAGTGTAACCTTGTAATATCAGGATTCAGAACTAAACTAAAATAGATTACAAGGAAGTGGGAATGGCCAAAATACCTCACTTTAACCCATAGCAGTTGAGATTTTTCTCATTTTCTAAATTTCTCCGCTTTTCCTCAGATTGGCAACAGTTAATCCAATTTTCCTCTCCTTCATATTTTGAAGGGAAAAAATGTTTGTTGAATGTGAAAGAAAATTGCAAAATGTAACTAGAAAATTGTAAATTTGTACATGGAAAATAGTAATTTGATGTTATATTGTGCTTGCCAATTAGAGACTGTAATGATTAGTTAAAATTAGATTGCTCTTTTTCCAGAATGGCACAGTTATGTACAGCATTTGAAAAAGACTAAAAATCTCATTGAGATGCCGTTTCTTGGTGTGCAGTAGGAAATTACTTTCCAATGCAATAGGTGGTGTAATGTTGAGACTTTTAAAAAAAAGCATTTCTCAAGAATTTAACCAATATTTTTAACTCTGTATTAGTGTAATTTGTTTTCATCGCATTTGCACTGATGTATATGATTCCAATACATGTACTTATCCTGTTCAAAATCTGTTTTTATTGTGAATGAAACGATACCGTGAAAAATATATTTCATTTATGCATAATTCATGATACTATACTAGCATCATCCATATGTATATAAGATTTTTTCCAAATGCACGTATATGTTCTAGATTTGCCATTATATGAAGCTTATCTTGTGTAATATAGGCAAGCACAGCCATCATTGCACAACACCCATGGCTTTAATGATTGAAAGCAGCTATTCCTTGCCTTTCACTTTTGCTCTCAACTAGTGTTATTATTATTTTTGATTATATTTCAAGATACATTTAAATGTACACTGTTCTAATATTGATGTCTGTCTGACAGCTATGCAACCATGCAAAGTTAGTCACCGCCATGTATATTGATCTAAATTTATGTATTTTAATGGTATAATGTTAAATTTGATTATTAAGATTATTTGAGCAGTTCAACTTTGTATATTAGAAAGTATATTAAATCACAGATTAAATAGTTTTGTCTATGAAAGGTGTGCTAATTTAGGTTGTTGTTTTTGTCGGTAGAAGTGGTCTACATGAAGACTTGTATACTTTCAGAAATATAGAATATCTTTGAATAAAAGATTTCATACAAGTTTTGCTTGTGACTTTGTCTTTTTATTACTTTAATTTCTTACTGCTTTGGATGTGTTGCATACAAGGGCATCAAGACGGTCCCAAACGTGGGGATGGGGGGGGGGGGGGTAATTGAGTGTTGGCGTAGGGGAAGACTTTTCAAATTGCAGGTGTTAAAAGACATTTTGATGTTTAGTTTAGTACTTAAACAAATAGGAAGAATGCCTTTAAATTGTGGAGAGCTGATGCTATCATGTCCCCCTAATTTTGTTTGGGGTAAGGGGGCATATTCCTTTTCCCCATTGCTTGTTGGTGCCCTTGGAGATCGTGCTTCGTCCTTGTAAAAATGTTGAGAGACCCCTTCCCCCACCACGCTCGACATATAGCAGCCCAATCGATTATTCTTCAGGAGCCTTCTTCAAGTGTTCCAAACTTTGGTAGCTCCTAATTAAAGAATTATAACCTATGTGACCTTCAATCATTTTTTTAATTTTAAAGAAGAACTAATACCCTGTCAAATGATACCATTTTTATTATTGTGCTGCCAAGGATGACTCAACAGCAGGCTTTTCAAAAAGTATCGTCAAAATCCTCTTGTACCAAGGTTTGGGGTGAAGCAATTGAATATAGGTCAATAGCCATTATGTGTGTGTACTTTCGAGAAACGGTACACTGACACTATAAATGCGTCCCTCATAGTCGGAGAGGACCTTAAGCCGTCGCGACGGCTTAAGGTCCTCTCCGACGCGTCGGCCGTCTAGCTGGTTGCTTACTAAACAAGCATGTATGCTTTCTTTGCAGTCAGGTAAAATAACCACCACCAACAATGTCAATGTCAATGCCACCAACAATGTCAATCATAAATGGAACATGGAAAATCTCAAATTATACATGATCGTACATTTTTTCCTCATATAACAGTTTATAATCAAAATAACAATAAGGAAGGTATAAAGTTATGTATGGGTTTCCACTCATCACTGTGAACTTCGATTAAATGTAACTTTTATTTACCTCCTGCCACAATCGTTTAACTCCATGACAATCTAAAAATAAATGTTGGTATGTCTCTACTTCTTGTCTCGAAAAGGAACAAAAATGGTCTGACCCAAAACCAAATTTAAAGAGCTCTCTTTTCGTACAAACAGCCTCTTGTAATTATTGTTTGTATTGAAACTCTCTTTTTTATTACATAACATTGCACATTTTATCCTTCAGAATGTATCTTTCAATTCCCTCAATCCAAGATTATGTTCACAGTAACTGTAACATGTGATGTGTTATCTTTTGGAAATTATTCAATAAAGTAATCATATTACTGAAATTTATATGAACGTCCAAACATCATCAATTCTATTTCAAAGTTTTCATAAAATCACTTTGTATCCATTCTTCTCTGATTGCTGAAAAGATCTTTTGAATTCAGCCTTTCAGTTGCAAAACCCAAATTATAAAAATGTAAGATTGGTTTTAAATGACCTCTGACGATTACATCTGATGCTTGAAGTATACCTTTCTGGAAAAAAATCTACATCGAAAAATGTTTTATTGCTGAGACATAGGCCTATACACTTATTATTAAAAAAATAAATATATTATTATTTTCTCCAAAATATCCGCACTTATCTAATTTGTGTAAGGCTTTCAACATGTCTTTATAAAACAATGGTAATCCATCCATTCAAGTCCATTTTATTTATATCATAATTGCAAAGAAATATTATTCTAAAAATGTTATTATTATCATTATTATTATTATTATCATTATTATTATTATTTTTATCATAACATTAACTTTGATTACTGTTATTATGATAATTGTTATAATAATCATCAAAATAATACTAGCACATTTTTGACGTTTGAATATGAAACCTTAACTTTTGGTTTCCTTACTAAATTCCTTGACAAGATTTGTCCTAGGATTTGAGAATATCGTTTACCATTATTCAAAACTGTATACCTATTGCGCTCAACTGCAGTACTCCCTATAGGTAAATTCCTGGGTAAAATGCATAGAAATTGCGTTTTTGATGGTTACATATACATGGAAAAAAAACCGCTCGGTCGCTTTTCTCCCTTGTTATTAACGTAGATATAATTCGAGGAGGGGGGGGGGGGGGGGTAATTCTAGCTTTCTTTTCCCCGGGTGCCTATATCGGGGGAGGGAGAGAGGGCGCGCCGCTCCGATGATGTGGTGACCCCGCCCCCCCCCCCCCAACTCCGAGAACGGACGCGTGTTACCAAAATGTCCTTTAACAAAAGAAAAGGGTCGACCCGTATTGACTTTACACATCGGACTTTTGCTGAAAGGGGGGGGGGGGGGGGGGGGAGGTGCTGAAAAAGGCTCGTATATAACAAAAGAAAAAGGTCGACCCGTATTGACCTTACACACGGGACTTTTGCTGAAAGGGGGGGGGGGGGGTCGCTTGGAACACGCATATGTACCCTAAATAACACTGAGTGGGTGGGGGGCGGGGTCGACCAGGGATTTTATACCTCTCATCTGTCACAGTGAAGGTTATTTGTGTTTCACTAGCTGATGATAACTTAACAAATAGATAAATTTTCGATTTTTGATTGGATATCAAACTTTCATTAATTTATTTAATATCTCTCTTTTATCCTGCTTTTATTATAGGTCATGAGAGGGTCATGATGTAGACAGAACGATCGAGCCCTCTATGAAAAATGGGCGCAAGCGCAGAACAGCATAGTGGGTTTTCCCCACTCCCTGGTTTTTCCCATTGAATGTTGAACACCAGCAATTCAAGTATGTGATCTCGCGCTCGCCCGCGCCGCCTGCATATCATCTGGACGAATGAAAGAGAGAGGGAAACAAGAGAAGAACGGAAACCATCCAGCCTTAAAGGAGAACAGTCCGAGAACGGTAAAACAGACATACATGAATTTAAAAACGAATTGATGTTGATTTTACTTAAGAAATTAGATGTATACATGCAGATCGATATAGAGTCTACTTGCAAAAGAGTGGCATCCATCCATTCATTGGATCTACAGACTACTAGGTACATGTAGTATGTACGCACACGTTGCAGAGAGTCGATATAGTCGATCTACATGTAGGTTGGAGACAATTTGGGAAATTTTGGACAGTAAAGTGAGTGAGACTGTCAGAGTTGTGGAACTGCATGATCAGCACAGTCTGGAGAGAGAGAGAGAGAGGAATATTTTGAATCTGAAAGTAATCTTTAAAAAATGTATGGGCCATGGCTCCTAGCTTGACTTTCAAATTGTAATTGTGTACGTTTGATTAATTTGATTAATTTGATTTGTTTGTTTCGTGCGTTGGACATAGTCATGTACTCACTGAAGAGTGAAGGAAACCGTCCATTATAGACGCGTCTTCTCATTCATTTTAGATATATAAAAATGACTGTTTTCCTGTTGTTAGTTTGCATATGACAAGTTTATTTCATTTCCAAGATTAGAACTTGTCACTCAAACATACTTCAAAATTCATTTGGACTTTCCTGTACTGTAGTGACCTTTGACCAACAGCCACACCAATGGACTTGTTTCGGGCTCGGCTCATTCCTGCATGCATGTACAATATTGTACAATATTTTGAGCTGTTTAAGTCTAAAATCTCTCAAGCAATTTGCAATTGTTTTTAAGAGAATCATACTTTAGAATCATTATATTCATTTTATCTTTGTGTAATATCTTCTTCTTCTTTAGTCAGGTGGTGCTAGCTGCGCTGCTGTGGCTACAAGTTTACGCCATCCTTCTCTGTCAGCTGTTGCTCTCGTTGCCTCTGACAGCTTTGAACCAGGAAATAGCAGGTCTGCCTCTTCTTCGCTTGGCTTCTACTGTTCCTGTTATAAGGGAATTTCCAAGACCGTCTCTCCTTACTACATGGCCAAAAAACTGCAGTTTCCTTCTGGCAATACTCTTTCTGAGCAACATCTGTGTATCCAGCTTGTCCAGTACCCATCGGTTTGTTCTTCTGTCTGTCCATGGAACCCTGTGTGTTCGCCGATACACCCACATTTCAAACGCGTCTACTCTCTTTTCATCTCTTTGGTCATGGCCCATGTCTCGCTTCCGTATGTAGCAATGGGAAATATAGATGTCAGTGCTATCTTTAACTTTAAACTGTTATTTATTCCCCGGCTTCTCCAGATCTTTACCATTTTCTGAGTTGCATTCCTTGCTATAGCTAATCTCCTTTTGATTTCTTTCTCACTTGATCCTTTAGCGCTAACAAGTGATCCCAGGTATATGAAATCCTGGACTTCAGCAATTTTTTCTCCATCCAAAATTAAATCATCAAAATCTCTTCGATTCCCGTCTATTACTAGTATCTTTGTCTTTTGTGTGTTTAAGAGGAGATTCTTTTCATAACTGGCCTGTTTTGTTCTTCTCAGCATGTCCAGCAGCTCTGGAGCCTTCATAATATATCAATTCTCATGCATCGTATTGACCTTACACACCAGATCGAGGTATGGGGGTGGTTTCAAAGGAAGGGAACATGCATACCCGTCCCCTAAATAACACGGAGGGGGGGGGGGGGTGGTGGGATTGATGCGAATGTGTCATGAGAGAGGCCATTATTGTATAGTACTGCTCTCGCTGCTCAATCTTTTTTTATATGATCATTTTTTCAACAGGAACTCATTGTTTTAATTCATTCTAAATGGGCGGTAACGTAAACAAAGACACTGTACACCAAATTTTGTCTCTGTTACCAGGGCTGAGAGGGGGGGGTAAGCATGCCCCCCCCCTTTTACCCCTCCCCCCCCAAAAAAAAAAAAAAAAAAAAAATCACAATTTTTTAAAAAAAATATTCACCTTCCAAAAACAAACAAAATTCACATAATGTTCAATTTACTCATTAAGAAATGCCTCAAAATGTACCATAGAGCATCTTAAGGTTAAGGGCCCCGGACATATCCCCATGTCGTAGAGGCTTAGCGCTTCCAGCTTGCAATTTCAGTTCCACTTCCAGTAAATAATAGGAAGAGCGGTCATGCGCTAAAGGGTTACTTTCATGAGCCCAATAGTTGACACAATTGACCTTCCTGTGACTTTCTTTTTTTATCTATTAACCTTTGCAGAGCTCTAACAATTGCCACTTGAGCCATCAAGGCAGCCTTTGTTTCAAGTGCGTCATCAATGGATACTTCAATTACCAAGAGTCTAGGAATTCAGGAAGCAAAGGTTTAGCGTGTATTCCTGAAGATTCAAAGTGATCACATTCCATGTGGTCACCATGCCTAAGAAGAGGGTTCCACACAAGAACAAGAAAGGGGAACAGTTATCAGCAAAGGACAGCCCAAGAAACACCAAAGATGAGAATTCAAAAGAACCCAGTACCGATCCCCAAGGGACACCAGGAGACGAAGAGAAAGCACGGCCCATGATGGATGGAGCCACAGGTTAGTTTCAATCGAGATGACATTTAATTTTCAGGCAAACATTCAGTCCTGTGACCCATATATGAGAATGTGGATCCACTTTTTCCTTTAAATGATTTTCGTTTACTCTTGTATTGTGAGATGAAGTCAATTGACATAATTAGCAGAAAACTTCAAACTATTGGCAAATCGGTTGTCGAAGAGGTTGGATGGTATCTGAAAAGTGTGGTATTTTAAACTGAGAGCGTAGGGGAGGGTCAATGTCGCTATTCATAAGGTCCGCTATTCATAAGGTCCGCTATTCATAAGGTCCGTTATTCATAAGGACCGCTATTCATAAGGACCGCTTTTCATAATTGGAGAAAAGGGTCATTATTCGTAAGGTTCATTATTCATAAGGGTCGCTATTCATAATAGGAGAAGAGGGTCGCTATTCATAATACGAAATGAGGTTCGCTATTCATAATAGGATAAGAGGGTCGCTATTCATAATACGAAATGAGGTTCGCTATTCATAATAGGAGAAGAGGGTCGCTATTCATAATAGGAGAAGAGGGTCGCTATTCATAATAGGAGAAGAGGGTCGCTATTCATAATACGAAATGAGGTTCGCTATTCATAATAGGAGAAGAGGGTCGCTATTCATAATAGGAGAAGAGGGTCGCTATTCATAATATGAAATGAGGTTCGCTATTCATAATAGGAGAAGAGGGTCGCTATTCATAATACGAAATGAGGGTCGCTATTCATAATAGGAGAAGAGGGTCGCTATTCATAATAGGAGAAGAGGGTCGCTATTCATAATACGAAATGAGGGTCGCTATTCATAATAGGAGAAGAGGGTCGCTATTCATAATAGGAGTAGAGGGTCGCTGTTCATAATACGAATGAGGGTCGCTATTCATAATATAGAGTTAGGGTCGCTATTCATAATACGGGATGAGGGTTGTTATTCATAAAATGAAATAGGCCTAAGCAATATCCAAAATGCTCATAACAAATGGAAATATTGGACGGATGACACCCCCAAGGCGACACATGGCCCTGAATATTTGTCTTGTTTTTAAGTAGGTTTGACATTTGTGATGACGACTCAGACATTCAGGTAGCGGACCTTAATATTTATTTTCGGGGGGGGGGGGGGGTGGGCTGAGGTGGTTTCCTTATAATATATATGGTCTTGTCACCAAAGTAAATTTTCTTAAGTTTGACTATCAGTTGAGGGGAGGGGGGAGGGGGAGGGTTCGCACAAGGGGGACAAATTACGATAGGATTATGTGTGTGTTATGTTTCCCTTTTTTGTCACCACTGGAGCGGGGGAAATGTATTAGCTAGATTAGGGGAATGTATTTTTATATAATTATCAAAGCTTAAAAGAAAATATAGACCTACTTTTAAAAAAAAAACATCATAAAGGGGACGCCACCGTTTGCTTAATGCTTTACGGTCGCAAAATCGTATCTTATTTGACTTTAAATCTTGAAAATCTTACTTCCTTACTTATGAGGAGAACAAAAATAAATTGGTATTCTTGCTCGATCTTCGTATACTATATTTATGTAGAAGTTTGAAGTCGGTGAGATGTATTATGTCGGTAATTTTTTTTTCCCCTACGAAGTGTGACTTTTTATCGAATAAAGAAACCTTTTTGAGAATTCAGACAATGATTAAGAGTCGCCCGAATCGTTCGAATCGTCTTCTTTGTCTAATATTTTAATGAAACGTTAAAGCTTCCGCGCTTTAACGGGTTATTTTCGTGTGTTTTTTCCTTCATTTTCTGAATGCATTTCATGAACTGAAATGTAGATGAAATGAAATGTAGATGAAATTAAATGAATGAATGTTGATGATGCAGATGAAAATGAAATGAATGAATGTTGATGATGTGGGAGGAAAAAGGAGTTACCTAAATGTAGATGAAATGAAATGAATGAATGTTGATGATGTAGATGAAATGAAATGAATGAATGTTGATGATGTGGGAGGAAAAAGGAGTTACCTAAAAGTCATTTCGAATATACTGAAATAACTTTCCATCTATCACTGTACGTCCCATATAATGTACACTAAACACTCATTACATGCCGTGGGAAGTTTAAAAAAAAAAGTAGAGCAGCAAGCCACATTCCCCAATACACGCATACCTCCTAGTTAATTTCAAACAGCTCATCAATATGTAAGACCTGAAATGACCTCAATGCAAGCAAGCACATGCATCTTACTAGGTAAACCATTTGCAATTAAAGCATTATACAATGTACTAGGTCATCATGGAAGTTCTAGAAAACAACAGGGGAGGGATCAAAATAAGCTTTGAAGGGCACTTATACGGGGGAAAATGAATTCAGACAAGGATTAAGAGTAGTGAACGGTACAACGAATCGTCTTCTTTCTCTAATATTTTAATGGAACGTCGAAGCTTCCGCGCTTCGCACGGGAAGGGGGGGGGGTGAAAATAATTTAGCTTCTGGCCCCGGATTTATAGGGTTAAATTTGTAGACATTGGGACATTGGCATTAACATAATATGTTAATATATAATTGGTAGCTATTTTTGTCGGTATTCGGTGGCCTCTTCACCCCCCCCCCCCCTCAAACTGAAAAAGGTCTAGCGACGCCCCTGCCTACAACCCCCTTTTTGTCGCTTCCATCCTTTGCTGAAGGTAAGGGACATGATAGATCAACCCCTTGATGGCAACACTGCTACACCCCAACCGCACCCCTCCCCCCCCCCCCCCCCCCGTAAAACACAAACAGTCTACGCCATCTATGAACTAATTGGACGAGAATTGTCAGTAATACGTACTTGTACCACGAAAATACTGCAGGGAGGGTAGGCTGAATGGTCGGACTGATGGGGGGGGGGCACGCCTTTTTCTTTTCTTTTGTACAGAAATGTTTTCAATATGTTTTCAATAAATGTTTCTACAAATATTCGGGGCCATGTGGCCCCCTCCCGCCAACGCTATAGCCGTGGGGTATCCCCTATCCATTATTTCGCCTACTGATGTTTATTGCTTATTTAATTTACATTTTTTTTATGAATAGCAACCCTTATACCGTATTATGAATAGCGACCCTCATTTCGTATTATGAATAGCGAACCTCATCTCCTATTATGAATAGCGACCCTCATTTCGTATTATGAATAGCGACCCTCTTCTCCTATTATGAATAGCGAACCTCATTTCGTACTATGAATAGCGACCCTCTTCCCCTATTATGAATAGCGACCCTCTTCTCCTATTATGAATAGCGACCCTCTTCTATTATGAATAGCGACCCTCATTTCGTATTATGAATAGCGACCCTCTTCCGTGTTATGAATAGCGACCCTTATAAGTAATGAACCTTATTTCGTATTATGAATAGCGACCCTCTTCTATTATGAATAGCGAACCTCATTTCGTATTATGAATAGCGACCCTCTTCTCCTATTATGAATAGCGACCCTCTTCTATTATGAATAGAGACCCTCATTTCGTATTATGAATAGCGACCCTCTTCTCCTATTATGAATAGCGACCCTCTTCTATTATTATGAATAGCGACCCTCTTCTATTATGAATAGAGACCCTCATTTCGTATTATGAATAGCGACCCTTATAAGTAATGAACCTTATTTCGTATTATGAATAGCGACCCTCTTCTCCTATTATGAATAGCGAACCTCATTTCGTATTATGAATAGCGACCCTCTTCTAATATGAATAGCGACCCTCTTCTATCATGAATAGCGACCCTCATTTTGTATTATGAATAGCGACCCTCTTCTCCTATTATGAATAGCGACCCTCTTCTCCTATTATGAATAGCGACCCTCATTTTGTATTATGAATAGCGACCCTCTTCTCCTGTTATGAATAGCGACCCTCTTCTCCTATTATGAATAGCGACCCTCATTTCGTATTATGAATAGCGACCCTTATAAGTAATGAACCTTATTTCGTATTATGAATAGCGACCCTCTTCTCCTATTATGAATAGCGAACCTCATTTCATATTATGAATAGCGACCCTCTTCTCCTATTATGAATAGCGACCCTCTTCTCCTATCATGAATAGCGACCCTCATTTTGTATTATGAATAGCGACCCTCTTCTCCTATTATGAATAGCGACCCTCTTCTCCTATTATGAATAGCGACCCTCATTTCGTATTATGAATAGCGACCCTCTTCTCCTGTTATGAATAGCGACCCTCTTCTCCTACTATGAATAGCGACCCTCATTTCGTATTATGAATAGCGACCCTTATAAGTAAAGAACCTTATTTCGTATTATGAATAGCGACCCTCTTCTCCTATTATGAATAGCGAACCTCATTTCGTATTATGAATAGCGACCCTCTTCTCCTGTTATGAATAGCGACCCTCTTCTATTATGAATAGAGACCCTCATTTCGTATTATGAATAGCGACCCTTATAAGTAATGAACCTTATTTCGTATTATGAATAGCGACCCTCTTCTCCTATTATGAATAGCGACCCTGATTTCATATTATGAATAGCGGTCCTTATGATTAATGACCCTTAATATGAATTATGAATAGCGACCCTCATCTCACGTTATGAATAGCGGTCTTTATGATTAACGAACCTTATTTCGTTATGAATAGTGACCCTCTTTTGCCATTATGAATAGCGGACCAGGAAGTACGGGAATTTACACGTTATGAATAACGGTCCTTATGAATAGCGGACCTTATGAATAGCGGTCCTTATGAATAGCGAATAGACCCCGTAGGCCTACTAATGAGCAAAAAAAGGATGATCTACAAAAAAAAGTCCCAGAATATCACTCATTTCAGCAGCGTTTGTAATTAAATCTTGGTCAAATCTACTCATCTTTGGTGTTTGGTGATGCTGCTACCTGTGTACTTCTGTTATGGGGTCAAAGGTCATATTTTGGTGAGTACATGTCTAGCTAGGTGTGTGCTCTGCAGGTCATATTTCACGACAGATATCTTACAAATTTTGTATGGAGATGTATCTTGGTACAATCTACACATCTTCACTCTTGGGCGATGCTGCCCTCATTGTTCCGTCCTTAATAGGGTCAAAGGTCATTTGTATCTCATGCGCTCATCCATAGATTTCTTTCAAATTTTCTACAGAGATGCATTATAGTCTAATGTACACACACATTGTTTTGGTGATGCTGCTCCTAGTGTTGACAACAGTCCGACTCACTATAGGCGATCTCAAAGTCTTCCTTTTGTTTCAGGGAGGGGAGAGAGGATCTTTCTCCCTCCTTTGAACATAAGGATGACACAAAAATCGCTGCAAGTGCCGGGGCATACATATTGCGATATTTCTAGTTATTATACTGTGAGGTTTTGGAATTGTAAAGAAATTGACCCGGTCTTGCTGAAAGTCGCACCACCCCAAGACGAAAATCCAATTGAAACCAATTGAACACCAATTGAATTTTCAATTGGTTTCAATTGGTCTCAATAGGTTTTAACAGGTTTCAATGGGACTTTAATGACTTCAGATGGTTTCAATTGGTCCAGATTGTCCCTAATTGGACCAATTAGACCCATTGGCTCCATTGGCCTAGGCCCCATTAGACTTTAATGGGTCCCCAATTGGTTTCAATTGGACCAATTGGCCTGAAGTTGGACTTCAATTGGTCCAATTGAAACCAATTTAAAACCTTTTAAAGTCTTATGGAGCCGATTGGTCCAATTAAAATCCCATTAAATTCTAATAGGGTCAATTGAAACCAATTAAAACCAATAGGACCAATAGAAACCAATTGGAAAAATAGAAACCAATAGGACCAATAAGACCAATAGAAACCAATAGGACCAATAGAAAGCAATAGAAACCAACAGATCTATGCATCTCATGCATATTCATTATTACTTTACACGTGTGACAGAAAAATACATTTATCATGATTTGTTAAGCAAATTAAGACAATGCACATCATTTTTGTTATTTCTATTTCCTTCACTATTAACCAATAGATTATTTTGTCTGATCATGTTACAATTACATTCACGTTTTAGCAATAGATATATTGATTATATGATTACTAACCAAGAAACAATATACAGTGTACATATTTAAAAATTATTTAGTATATATATGTGTACGAGCCTGTATGTTTCTCTTGAATACACTTCAATTGATCTATGTGATGAAGTTAATACAATTGAGAATAGAATATACCTAATTGGTGGACAGTTGCCAATATCGATTATGAAGTATTAGTTTATCACTGAATCGATTTACCAATTGAATCCCCATTGATGCCCCCATTGAATCCCAATTATAATAATCCCTGCATCTGCTGCATCTACATGTAATAAAGCATTAACAGAATTTCTTCTTACTGGGTATCTCTCCTGGTTGGAGATTGGCAGAAGGAGTTTGAAGGGGGTGTAGCATGGCAAATTCTGGTTAACACCACCTCCAACTTCTTTTGGACGACTGCATGTAAATGAATGGACTTAATTAACGGTCAGCGCGCACTAGCGTTCGCTAAACAGACTAAAATTCTCCTCACGCTTAGGCTTTGCGTATTTTTCGCGCACGTGAATACTGCGGCCGCGTCGTCCGTAGTCGTATGATACCCGATTGGTCCCGAGTTGGGCGACGGGAAAACAAGTAGTCTCGTCATGCTACACCCCCTTTAATGTCTTGCCAAACCCTGTCCTACTTGAATCATTAGTTCATTACACCTCTAATAAAAAGGTGATCTGTATCATATAGTTAGTGAAAATTTGGGTAGTTTTCCGTAATTGCCATGCCGAGTCATTATTTTCATCTCTTTTTTTTAAATCTTTCTTCAAAGCAATAGCTGCAATGCGACTTGAAGAGGAAGACGTTCAACGAGACAGCATGGCTCTACTCCAAAACAGCAGCCGACTGGTTGACCAACCTTCATGCGATGTGGAAGTACAAGAGAACTTGCTAGAGAATCTGCCAGGTATATCCTTGATTAAGTTATCGTTTTTAATTATGTCACACAGATTATCTCCCTGTCCAACATTGTATTTATCATAGGATAGATACAGTATATGCGAAGGCTACAAGACTATCTAACTGTTTCCAGTGAAAGATTAATCTATACCTGTGTTTAAAAGGCAATCATGGATCTAACCAAGACTGGTATGTGTTTTTGGTGTATAAAGCCAATGTGTTGACATCTGTAATAACTTTTTTTTTTTTTTTAACTTGGTGGATCCATAAGGGTTGAAACGACACCATGCAATTTTCAGGAGGCCCACTGTAAGTGAAGAAATAACTTCAAACCCAAAGAGAAGACTATCTTGAAACCTGTTTCAGCTTAATATGAATAAAAGACAAAAAATTGATTGAAATCCGAAAAGGTCAATTTTTTGCAGTCACAAAGATGATTACAAGTATCATCAGTTCTGTATCTTATTTTCCTTTTGAGCTACACTTTCCTTTCATTTTTAAACATCCTTCAGAGCTCACCGAACTCACTCTGTGGAAGGTCAGTGAGGTCATTTCACCGCACAGATTCATGCCATTGGGACTGAAGCTTGGTCTACCTCAGATAAAGCTGAAGATCCTGCTTGATGAAAGAAGCCCCATGTGCCAACAGGAAGAGAAAACCTTCATGATGCTCTACCAGTGGTACAATGACCAAGGAGGTGACCTGTCCAAGTTCTTCTTCAAGGTTCTGACAACAGATGAGGGTCTAGACCAGGAACAAGTCTTCAAATTGTGTAAGTCCAAGCTTGGTAGTGCTACAATACTGTAAAAAATAGATGTAGAGCTAAACAGGAAATGGGGGTAACAAGTTTCTCTTCAGGGCATTGAATGGTGTTCCTAGACTGTAAAGAAGGTATGTAAAACCAACCTTGCTAAATATGAGAATGGGTGATGGTGATCCTGATGACCGATGAGGACCTAGACTGGAAACAAGTCCTCAAATTGTGTAAGTCAAAGGGTAACTAGATTATTTAGGAAGCATTTCTGAAAGACTGTAACGCTGTGATGATTGACCAAACATGGAACATGAGAATGAGGATGACTTTTTGTTAAAAATGTCATGTTAAATATACGCAAACAATGCTCCCTGCTTTGGTATTTAGATTGAAAGTGAAACATAATCCATTGTGTTTTGGTTTCTTTCAGTTTTTGAGCAGCAGCACACATGCAACAGCTTTTTTGGAAGATCTTTCCAGGATTTGCAGCTGTGGGATATAGCAGAGGAACTCCATGTGGCTAAGTTGATCCCATTGAGTCTTCGACTAGGTCTGACCTATGCGAGGATCTGCAGTATTCGAGAGGACAGCAACAGTCATTCTGTAGATGTTCGCTACAACGTCATGGTGAAGTGGCAAAAGGAACAAACAGCTCAGATCGACCAGGTCGAAACTCTCGCCAGGATTCTGGAGGCATGCCGTGAGAGAAGAATAGCATATAAGATCCGTAAGTTTTCAGTACATTCATGTTCTTCAGATGTTTCCTTTCTTTCTTTTTTCAGAAGTGCAACGTCAAGAACACAGATGTAATTCATGTTTTCATTTGAGACTTGATCAAAATATCTCAGAGAATCTACATTTCACTTTAGGTAGCTATTTTGTTTGGACCAACGTAGACAGAAAAAGAACAAACATGTTCCTCTCATCATAGTGGACAGAGTAATTGTAGAATTAGACTGAGCAAAACAGGAAATAGATAATGCAGGAGATGGAAATTGTATTGGCATCTACTGTACCTGAAACTAATTCAAAGCTTTTTCTTGTAATAACCAGGCCAGAATCACTTGGGTGTCACCAATGAGGGGAAGACTTTGCTTATCAGTGAAGACCAGCCTATGGAGGGAGTGGCAGGTATGATATTTTACATTCACGCTTTCTTTGGAGTACGAAATTTGCTCCTGGAACAATAATTACTCAGCATCACTGACCAAATTTTTACTTTCATCCCTGGACCCAACATGATATACCTGTCCCTAATCCTAGAACCCAAAACCTAACTTAAAGTAAAAACCCGCTTAAAACCCTAATGCTGTAAATGTGATGAAGTAAAATCCAGTGCAATTTTAGCGGGTTACCATCACCAAAGATGGGAAGACATCGCCAATGTATGAATATCAGCCGATGAAACGTGATGCAGGTATGACATTCTATATTCACCAACACTTCAGAGACGATTCCAAGTCAGGATGTGATTCTTAGATGTTTAGTTCACCTAGCAGGATTGTTGTTGCTTCTGTTGCATGTCCGATAAGATATACATTAGTCCTCAAAGCTTTTTAATAACTCCCATCAATGTTCTAGTTTTTGTGTCGGTCTCTGTTTTGGGGCCGTAGCTTTCTTCTTTTCTTTTTTGTGGAGAAGAACAAAGCAATGTCCTCTTACAACTAAGCTTATTTTTATACCTTGTTCTTGTTCATGAATGGTTCATGTTGTCTCTTGTTTCCACAGAAGTTCAGCTCAATGTCACCCATTCCAACCAGTTGGTAAGGGAAGAAGCACAAGGTAAAATAAAAGCTCTCCTAGATGCCAGTTCCTCAGAGGTCAGTCTAGTCCCATCCACAGGAGTAGCAGCAGATTTTCTAGAGGGGCTGAAGACATTCAGCAACTTGTGCAAGCGTCACACAGACTTGGTGAAGTGCTTGGAGAGGAGCATAGGGAGGGATGGATTCTACAAGCTCATTGGATTGACTCATGATTCCATTCATTTCCATGTGAAGGTGTACACCATTGAAGGGCTACGTTGGCTTCAAAGTGATGTCCAAAGCGGCCGCATCGGACATCAGCTTGGAAAGGTGCTCGTCTCTGAAAAAAACAAGCAGCTAGTTCTAGAGGACATCGTTCTAGATGTTGCGCCTGAAGGAAGTGGTGCTTGGGATCTACTTTCACATGCAGTCATTGACCCAATCCTTCCAAGCACTAGTCTGTCAATAGATTTTGAGAATAGGGAAGCGTTGAATGAAGACAGAACATCATCGTCAGATCTCATGGCCCACCAAGGACACCCAGTTGTCCCGGAATCCACAGTCAGACAGCAGATAGTCACTCATGAGGAAGAAAATTCTGGTCACCTAGCTGGTAGTTCTTCTCTGGCAACACCTGGAGAAGTTGCTTCATTGGCATCACATGTATCAATGAGCCAGGAGAAATGTAGGCCAGACGATGCTGTGGACAAAGAAAAAGATTCTGCAACAAGCACAGAGAAAGCACATCCAGGTAAGAACAATTATATTTACATTGAGCTACTTGTACTTCTATATCTCAAAGATTTGTCCTGATGAATTTTTCCTGGCTAAATGAAATTATTAATATTGCATTATTACCAAAAGAACAATGTATATTTCTGAGACAGCATTGTTGATTATGTGAACAAATGTCTAGTAAAAGTGAATATGTATTTTTTTGTTATATATATATATATATATATATGATAATATTTAGGACTTTCTAAATTTGACACTTTTTTTCTTAAATATTTCAGGTGAAGCATCAAAAAAGATGATGGACTGGACAGAAGAAGAGGTGGCCATCTGGCTGAAAAGTAACGTACATCTCTCTGATGAACTTGTCAGTAAGTTGAAAGGGGTGGATGGTTTCATGTTGGTAAGGTATACAAAAGCTGAACTGATAGAAGATTTCGAACTCTCTGCAACATATTGCAGAAGGTTGATGTTAAGGAGGGAGCATTACCTTGAAAAAGAACGAATGGGCATGGTGGCAACTCAAGAATCTGAATCATCTGACAGAAGGGATGGAAATTCCAAGGTAAGTGCAATGGAGAGTGTGAATACACCCAGTCAAGAGCCTACCCCACCACCAGCAACATCAGCAGATGCAGATGAACCTGTAACACAGGTAGAAAGTATGCAAAATACCTCATCTTCTTCACCTATGGGTAACATCCAATTAGACTCTAGAGGTGTAGAGGCTTCAGGTAAAAAACAAACTACAAGAGCTCCTTCTCTAAGCGAAGTTCCTGTTACATCGCTGGAGATGGAAAAGGACACTGTTGAATCTACTATAGACAGGGAGACAGGATACGGGTCATCCTATACTTCTGCCACACCAAATCCCTCTGAAGTGGATTTAATATTGCCTCCGTTTGATCATCCAGAAAGGCAAAAATCACTGTATCAGGGATCTGGGATTGGAGGTATGGACAGTGACTCACATACAGAAAGGAAGCTTACTAATCTTCTTCTTGGGTCTGACAAAGGTGAGCTTGATTCATCATATTACCCAGTTCTGGTTGTCAACACACCCGCTCAACAGTTGAGTTCTGCAGAGTTGGAGGAACGGTTTGGTTTCATGTCTTCTGTCAGTTGGAATGTTGTCTTTGACTGCAATGCAGATTCCAACAAGACAGGGCTCTGTCAGTATGTGAATCAGAGGAAATCAATCAAGATCTTGAGTGCAGATACATTCACAGTCGAGACTGAGGATGTAAATGCCCTTAGAGAAGGAATTTACTTTCCAGAGATTCCTGTTTGGGTGTTCCCTAATGGTCGGAATGATGTGAATCTGAAAGGAAAGGACAAGATGTCAGATATGGACTGGATGAGAGAGCGCTCACATGCAGTCTTGAACACTGTCCGGTTCTTCTCTCACCCTGGTGTCATTCCGCCAGGCAGAGCAGTCGTTGTGTTGTTCCTGCTTTCATATTCAGATATCATGGTCATGACTCAGTTGTTCAGGGAGTTCTACACTTCCAAATCGTTTCAGGATCTGAAACGTTTCACTGTCATCGCAGAGAATCAAGGTATACTGCACAAATGGATACAGCATCTTGAAAGTCAAAGCATCGTTTCAAGCAAGGATATGAAAGATAGATGTCTTGGAGGAGTGCCATGGCAGGATATCAACACATACATGTTGAGACTTCTAGGGTCCTGTGAGACACGTTTGCCAGTACTTCCTGTGGCTCCTAAAGGACAGTGTGACCTAATGAAGAAACACCAGAGTCAGTGGACAGACATATCCATCCTAGCAAAGAATGAGTGTGAAAACACTTCTATGGATGAGAGTAACCCCAAATTCTTGGACTTTGTTCAAGAGAACGAGCTACGATACTATCAAGGTCATGGAGTTGACTGGTGGAATTTCTATCTGTCAGAAGAGAGGTTGAATGGAGGCAAGGGCTACAATCATGTTCTGAAGCGTCAGAACTACAAAAGGCTCTATTCTGATGTTCATAAAGTACTCACCTCTCAAGGCAAGAAGGTCCGCCACATTTCCATGGCAACTGTCTTTCATGTAGCAGGTTCAGGAGGCACAACGGTAGCAAAGAACCTGTTGTGGGACTTGCACCGCCAATACAGATGTGCAGTTGTCAATAGGGTTACTAATGACACTGTGAGTCAGCTTGTTGCCTTGCACAAGTATGGCTATGAGGAAGGACAAAAGCCAGGGCCAGTTGTCCTCCTCTTGGAAAACCTGGATTCTGAGACCATGCGATCATTTCTAATAAGCCTTGAAAGAGAAACCAGGTACTTAGAAAACAATGGATTGGCTTTTGTTCTTATCCATTGCAAAAGAACCTCAGAGCCGGAACGTCATCAGCAGAAGGAAGAATCAAAGCCAAGCATTTGTGTTGAACATACACTAACAGAAGAAGAGAATCAGTGGTTCACAAAGAAGACCAAAGATCTTGAGCAGAGAAATGTGTTCAATGAAAAGGAGTCTCCCGAGCTCCTTCTTGCTTTCATGGTAATGAAAAAAGAGTGTAATCCTGAATACCTGAAAAATGTTGTGAAAGGCATTCTTCCACCAGTTGACAAAGAACCCAAGAAGGCACTCCTGAATGCAGTCAATCTATTGAAGTATATCGCTGTAGTGCAGATGTACAATCCTGGATTTGCAATGCCTGTTTCTGCCTGTGATGGTTTTATGCAAAAACAACATAGAGTGATGTTGAGTGGTCGCCAACAGACATTTGGACCCTGGGAGAAAGATAGGCAGCCATTTCTAAACCTACTTCTCCTTGAAGAATTCATTCAAGATATTGATGGCTGTGTGAAAGGCCTTGCAATCGTCCATCCTGTTATTGCAACAGAGATTGTAGATCAGCTTGGTGAAGTCTTTCAACAAAAACCTGCTGATATGATCCTTGAACTTCTTGAGAAGTCAACAATTCTGGACACCTTGTCTTACAGCAAAGGCTACATTCAGAAGGTTTGCAGAGATTTGATGGTAAGGAGACTGAAGAAAGAGTACGGAGATGATAGAGAAACTGACTTTGCCCCTTTCATTGAAGATGTATATGCAGAGGATAGGGCAAAGGCATACAAGATCATGGAAGTTGGCATCAAGAAATTTCAAGATCCATACATAGCACAACAGAAGGCTCGACTTCACAGCAAGGGAGAAGATGATTTTAATAATGCAGAACAAGCTATCAATATAGCACTTGGCATTGTTAACAACAACTCATACTTGTGGGACACAAGAGGAATCATCCTTCGACAGAAGATGATGACACTGTATGGGGGCAGGGTAGACCAAGAAGTTACCAGTGACAGTGAAATGAAGGAGTTGTTGGACACCTTCCGTGAATCTTGCGCAGCATTTCAAAATGCTCAGAAGGCTATGGTAGAAGAAACAAGAAAAAGGAATTATGCTGGCTTTGTGGGTGAAATCATCACAATTGGTAAATTCCTGGAAATTGTACAGAAGAGAGTGAGACCTTTCCGTTACAGGAATGAAGGATTGGAGACTTTGAGGAAGTATCTAATGACAGATTATATTCCTCCTGAAATCACCCTACCTTCACTCCTTGAATTCAGTGATACCATGAAATCATTGTCAGAGAGGGTTGATGAAGTACTTGGGCGTTTCACTGACTATCTTGTTCACTGTGCACAGCAACGATTTGGTGGAGCCTCGTACAGAATCTATGATGACAAATTGGAGAAGATCTACACTGCCAGACAACGCTTCTTCGCCTTGTCATCTCCACCGCTTGGAAAGTACCCAGTGGAAACTGCTTATGCAATGAGACGATCTGAAGTGAAAATGCTGAATGCGGATGGATACCAACAGATCTTTGACATGGTTTCAAAGACAAAAGTGGCTGATCTCAAACACGTTCAATCTTTGCTCAGGCAAAACCTTGGTAGTCCAAGTCTTTTTGACATCAGGAACTTTGTGTTTACCCTCTTTGCCTTGTCAGTCTGTTCCGATGAAGGATTAGATGAGGAAAAGGCCAGAAAGTCAGTGAACACCTTGAAGATGATGGAGGAAAAAGACAATGGGTTCTATGGCTTGTTCTTTGAGATGCTGTTGAATTGGCCCGATGGCACACCCAAAGAAGGAAGCACACCAATCGGAGAGACAATTAGGCAACTGAAGGCTAAGTGGGATAGTAAATACCGCAATAAGGTGTATGCAGAGTCTCGACACGACCTGACCAAACGATCCAAAATTCGTCAACATTTCAGCCCCATGAAGCCTTCCACAGAGTTCTATCTTGGATTTCAGAGTAAGAAATCTCCATTTGTCCATCGGAAGTCCATTGGACGAGTCACGTATGACATATGGAAAGAAGACTCCATCAAGAAGAGACTCAGGCGGTTGAATGGTGTCCTAGACAGCAAGCACTTTGTCTCGTATAACCCTGATGGAGAAGAACCAGTTAAGATCACTCTGTCTCTTCCCATCAAGGGTCTACCTAGCCAGGAACCTGTTCAGTTCTACCTAGGGTTCTCATTTGCTGGCCCTCTTGCATATGATGTAGTCTACAAGGACAACAGAGGAGAGACCCCCTTCATTGCAAAAGAAAGTTCTACAAACTACCCTTCCTATGTCAATGAAATTGATGATATTGATGAGCTATTGATGTAAGCTATGACTTCTAAAATGCTATGGAACATCACGAAGCTAGTTTCTACAGATTACGGTGCTTAGCAAATACATACATGCAGGTGTCCTTAGTTATATGGATAAAGTTTGTTCAGAGTGCTCCATTTCGATCCCATTAATCATCAGACTAGCAAGTTTGTTTCTTGAGAATAGTGAATATTCTTGGAATTCCAACGGGAATAATTGTATTGTTTTCTGATGAATTCCTGAATGCTTGCCAAGTACAATAGAAGGAAGTCTAAACACTTACACTTGAAATTATTTCTCTTAAATATTTGTAGCTGTCAGACATAAATTCAAGAGATCTTTATTTCAAAGTATGCTTGTCATCATAAAGCGGGACTGCACTACTTGTAGCTACTCCCTCTATATACATGTAGCAAACAATGCCTTAGCGGTACACATTGGTCCCCCATAATTTCCTCTTTCTTATGTTAATTGAGAGCCGATTTGATGAGATAACCAGATAATGAGATAATTAAAGGCTGTGTATATCTTGGCAAATACTGGTTAACGCAAGTCTTTGTGTTTGGCCAACTGCACGTAAACGAATGGGAGTCGGCAACTTAATCTCTACATGGTCAGCGTTCGCGAAAACAGACCAAAGTTCTCCTCACGCTTCGCTTTCGCGTATGTTGCACGCACGTGATTGCTGCAGTTGCGTCGTTCGTAGTCGTATTATACCCGATTGGCCCCGAGTCAGGTCACAGGAAAGACACGTAGTCTTGTTAATCTACACTCCCTTTTAGCAGGTGCATTACTTTTTTAGTGTTATGTAGCTGTGTTATAAGAGCGGCCAAATTTTATCTATGCGAATTGATTATATGACGGAAAGTGGATGTTCCATCTTTAAAAAGTTCTGTGAAATAGTCACACATGTTTGTCGCAAATAATAATATTTTCCTGCATTCATTCATGTTAAAATAATGTATTAAACTTACATGTATCTGATGTTAAAACTGCTAAAGTTAGTATCATATGATCATTTTTTTTCTTTACAATGAGATGTAACCATGTTCATTTAGAAGTAGATTTATATATGACGTTCAAACATGATTTTCTTTTAAAATCGTTGCCATAGATGTTCCATTTTTCAACTTGAATTACAGTTATTGTTCAGTGGTGCAGGAAAGGTATTGTTTGTACTTTGCTTCGCTTAGCAGTATATAATCATTTTTTTATGAATAATGTCACCAAGGATTTGCGTGTGCTGAGGTTGCAAGGCAATCTTGTTTAGAGAGAAAATCGCTCAGTGAGAGACTTTGAGCAAGCGTAAGATTATTTGCCATGATATGTCTTTGGGATGTTGATTATCAGTCAGTGTTTTCCATATGCTCAGGTTGTATGTTTTTTGCTTTGTACTATATTCCCCCAAATAATATATGAATCAATATTTTGAAATACCGGTACAATCTTTCTTTGGAGTAAAGGAGAATGAGGTTGTTAATATGAGGTCTCTTATGCGTAGGCAGAATACCATTGCTGTTGATTTGCCATTGTGGCCTTGTTTACACAATGCAGATCAAATTGTATCTGCTTTCAACTATGTAGCTATGTATGATAACACACTGTTCTGTATCACTTAGGGAAAAGGAGCATGATTTGCTGTTATATACTTGTATTACTCGTGTTATTTTCATAGAAGCTGTAAATAAAAAGCAATTTCAATGTTTGTGTATCATAGGACATAATTCATATATTCTTGTTACTGTTGAAATATTTGATTTTGGTGTGTTTCCTACTGCAATTGACACGATGACTCAACATTTTCTGTGATTTTTGCTATTTCCGCTCATGTATGGTGTGATTTCTGTTAAATAAGTTTAACAATCAGTAGAATAGCATGGGCAATTTCAGGTGGAAACTTTGAGACTTTTGTAAAGTAAATTTGTTACCCTCTCTTGTTAATTATTATACTCTGATTGTACATGATAGTTTGTTTATTTTCTTCTTCCTGTATGCGTGTGTTTAGGGATAGGCTTTCACATAACATAAGGAATCCTTCCTTTCTGCCTATCCCAAATGCTTTCAAAAAGTGCCATTGCAATTTTTATCATTATCTTTTTTTTATTTTATCATTCTACCCTGTATTTGTGTGTTTTTATGAAGACTGTTTGATAAACTTTGAATTTGAATTTATGTGTAATTCCCAGCATTCTGGACCAAAAGATATTGCATAAAAAGTCGCTAAAACGAGACACAGTATATGCTAGCTATGGTAATGAGTTTGTGATAACCACGTCCTTTATATCGAGGTTTCACTGTATTGTTTTGTTTTCCCCGTATGATATATCAAGGAATTGTCTCCTCTTTTAATGTGTTTTGGCATCATTGCAGTGCCTAACGTATTTTAGATATGAGCTCTATTCATGTCTCCTAATGTAATATATTGTTATATTCCTGAAATCTCATTGAGATGCCTCTTCTTGGTATACAGTACAGTAGGAAATGTACATTCCAATGTAGGAAGTGGTGTAATGTTAAGATGTAACGGTGAGATGGTAGAAGTGTGTACTATCAACTTGAACTTTAGACTTCATATATTTTAATGAATTTTTAAAGAATTATACCGTTATTTTGACTCTGTATTAGTGTCACTTGTTTTCATCGTATTTGAACTGATTTATATGATATCTAATAATTATCTCGTTCAAAATTTGTTTCCACATTGATAATGAAACGAAACGGTGTAAACGATATTTCATTGATGCATAATTCATATAAAGATGTCATGATTTTGAATGAACAAAACTATCATCAACCATGTATATAAGATGTTTTCTAAATGCACTTATATGTTATAGATTTTAACATCATGGAAAACTTATTTTATGTACTATGGGCAGGCACTTATGCCCTGCTGCTCAACATCCATGGATTTTATAATTGAAAAATGCAGCTATTCCTTTCAAGTGGCTCGCATTTCACTTTCCTCTCAACTAGTGTTATTTAATATTTGAATATCATTCCAGATACATTTACATGTACAGTGTACACAGTACTAATACACATTACATTCTTTCTGACAGCTATGCGACCAGGCATCACAACCGTCTACATTTATATATGTTTATGGGATTGTAAAATGTATAATAGTTTATTTGCGCAGTTCAAATTGGTATTTTACCAAGAAGGTAATCGCAGAATAAATGTATTTTAAGCTTTATCTACGCAAGGTGTGTTGATTTAAGGGTGTTGTTGTTGTTGTTATGATAGAAATGGTCTACATGAAGACTAGCTTGTACACTTTCAGAAAATAATGTAGAATTTCTTTTAATAAAGAATTTGATACCAGATTTCCTTGTGATTTTGTTTATTTTAAAGTTCAATTTTAACTGCTTTGGATGTGTTGCAAACAAAGGCATCATCAGGATCTCAAACTTGGAGGGTGGGGGGTAATAAGTGGGATAGGGGACGGCTTTCAAATTACAAGTGTTAAAAGACATTTTGATATTTAGTTAGGTATTAAAAAAAGAAGAATGCCTTTAACATTTTGAGGACTGATGATATGATGTCCCCCTAATTTTGGTTGGGATAAGGGGGTATATTCCCCTCTCCACTGCTTGTGATCAGAATTTACATTTTAAAATACCAATAAACTTCAGCTACTCGAATCTGCGTGGGATATACATTGTTTCTTCAAGTTAGAGCGTATGTGTTGGTTCAAGTACAAAGTCAATGAGTTATTGTTCTATAAAAGAAAGCAGAAAATCAGACGTGCAGATTGGTGGATGTGAACCTAAGAGAGCAAACAAAAAGAGAGTTGTAGATATAATCACCATACATAATATGGGAATTAAAATATAACACATCGATATTCTTCGAATTTGACAAGTCAAGGTGATTCATAAAGATGAAATATAATGCGCAGAGGGTCAGGCACGTAGCCACGGGGGGGGGGGGGGGGCACGTGCCCCCCCCCCAAATTTCCAAGATCGGTTGAACATTTTTTAACCTCGATCGATTACATGTATGTGCCCCCCCCAAAAAAAAAACAACACAACAACAACAATAACAACAACAACATCAAACTCTGGCTACGTGCCTGCAGAGGGTAGGGCCTAACTATGTATTTTACAATTTCAGCTGCAATATTTTGGTTGCTGTTGTTGTTTTTGTTTGCCTTTTTTTTCCCTATAATGTAAATCTTTAATCATATTATTGTTAGGCCAACATGGCCATTGTGGTAAGTGGTTTTGTAACGTACAATGCTACCCTGTACAAATAAAACTACAAATAATCAATTAATAAAAAATGTATTGTGATGACAACAGAGATTGAGTTTCATCCCTATACAAATAGCCCCCCCCCCCCCCCCCCCCCACGCTCTACTTACAGCATCCCCATTTATTTTTCTTCAATGTCAAGAACCAATCCTTCTAGTTCTATACAGTGCGTTTTAAAAACAAAGTGTACCCAACTGTGAAATCTTCTTATCACAGAATTATAACTTATGTGACCTTTAATCATATTTAATTTTAAAGAAGAACTAAGAACATGTCTATAATGATACCATTTTCATACCATAATGCTGCCAAGGATGACTCAACAGCAGGCTTAATTTTTAAAAAGTATTGTCAAAATCCGCTTGTACCAAGGTTTTGGGTAAAGGAATGAATGTGGGTCAGTAGCCATTGTGTGTGTGTATTTCTACAAAAAGTACGCTGATACCCGGCCTCTCCACTCAGTGTTATTTAGGGTACGCATAATGTATGGTGGCCCTGAAGGGACATCGCGAATAGACTAAATCGTGAAAAATATGCGATAAAATTCACGATATCGTCAATTTTATCGCATATTTTTCACGAAGAAATTCACGAAATTGACGATATCGTGAACTTTATCGTGAACTTTTCACGATGAAATTGACGATATCGTGAATTTTATCGTGAGAAGTTCACGATATAAAGTTCACGATATATCAATTTTATCGTGTACTCTATCGTGTACTCTATCGTGTACTCTCCTGACGGGCGCTTCGTAAACAAAACCAGCCCTAGCTGGGGGAGACAGAGAGAAGGAAAAAAGGGAAAGGGAAAGAGAAGATAAAAGGAAAGAAAGAATAATAAGAAGAAAAGAGGGAAACGGGGGGGGCGAAGGGCTCTTGCCTCCTCCTCACTCCCCCCCCCCCCCTCCCCGCCAAAAAATAAATCAGAGAGAGAGAGAGAAGGGAAAGGGAAAGGGAAAGAGAAGATAAAAGGAAAGAAAGAAGAGGAAGAAGAAGAAAAGAGGAAAACGGGGGAAGGGCGAAGGACTCTTGCCCCCCCCCCCCGCCAAAAAATAAATCAGAGAGAGAGAGAGAAGGGAAAGGGAAAGGGAAAGAGAAGATAAAAGGAAAGAAAGAAGAGGAAGAAGAAGAAAAGAGGGAAACGGGGGCAAAGGGCTTTTGCCTCGTCCCCCCGCCCCCCGCCAAA